GAACCACATGCTAACCTGGAGGGGCTCTCGCAGTCCTCTGGCCCAACCTTCTCATTTTACATATGAAAAGCTAATTCAGAAAGTTTTTAAATGTTTAGAATCTCTTACATCTGACCAGTTCTTTTCCTATAACAGTCCACTCTAATCAGAACATGGCTTAATGACAGTTCTGCTCCTTATACTGGGATCAAACCTCTGAGTTTACACAGAACTGCCGAAGTATGATCTCAATCCCTCACAACAAATGTGAACGTTCCTAACAAAAATGAATGTTAGAGGCCGGCCCGGTGGTGTGGTGGTGAAGTTTGCCCACTCCACTCCAGCAGCCCCGGGGTGTGCAGGTTCAGATCCCAGGTGTGGACCTACATACCACTCATCACGCCATGCTGTGGAGGCGTCCCACATAAAAAACAGAAGAATATTGGCATAGATATTAGCTTAGGGACAATCTTCCTCACCAAAAAAAAAGATAATTTTTAAAAATATCCATTTTATAGATGTGGATATTTCAGCACAGTTTAAGTAATGTAGTCATAATGACATAACCAAGCATCAACTAATGAGAACCGTAACCTAATGCCCCAATTCCCATCTCCACCTTTCCTATTACATCTCTTTTCTTCTAAGTCACTCTCTATTTCCAAAACCTGTGATAAACAATGTGTATGTGAATGTATGTGTGTGTGTGTGAGTATGTGTGTATGTGTGATTACCATGTTTATGATAACAGGAAAATGACAAGAAAAATTGCTCAGAATAAGACCAGTTGGATGAAGCAGTGGCAAGTGGCACCAGGAGCAAGAAGGACCCTTCCTTTCCTGCTGAGACGGGCTACCAGAGTCCAGGGCTTTCAGAGGGTCCTCCCCTGCCTGCCTCCTCTCCTGGTCTGAGTTGGGCCACCTCCCCTGTGCCTGGCTGCATTGCAGAGCAGGGCTCTGCTCTGCGTAACAGGTCTCCCATCCACCCTCCCCAGAGCAGGCCCTGTGCCAGCCCCATCTCCCGGCCTTCTCTGGAAGTCAGGGAGGAGCCAGGGAGCAGCAGGGGCCCCTTGCCCTCTCCTCATCTTTAATGAAGAAACGATGTAATCACCTCTCAGCTGCCTGGACCTAATTAACACCTGCTCAGAGTTTCGGTTGCTGACTAAGGGCACTCCTCCCTCTCTGAGGCTTCTGTGGGAAAGCCTGTTGCAACTTGCTGGAGGTGGGACAACGGGATTAAGGTCAGTGCAGGGACAGGGGTCCCTCCTGCACTGATCAGGAACAAGCCAGGCACTAACTAAACAACAGGCCTGTTTTGAAACCCCGCCTCCTGTGTCCTGCCCAGACCAAGAAGGCAGAGAGGCCCACCCAGCTCCCCCAGTCCTCATGTTCTCCCATCCAAACTGCTTCTCCAAACCCCTCTCTCATCGGTATACTTCCCTTTTCCTCAGTCAGAAAAATCTACAAAACTTCAACCCAAATCCAAGTTAGCATCTTCCCAACTTGGCAACTTCCCAAGTCACGGCTCAACTTTCACAATTCCAGCCCCATTTCCATCTCCTCCCAAAATTCACACCCTTTGGAATCACAACAGAATTCATCTGAATTATTTGAAGATGCAATAAATAAATAAACAAGGTCATTACAGAATGTGATAAGCACTGGAAAGAAAACAAATAGGATGATGTAGAAAGATTGACCACAGGGTGGGGCAGTGCCACTTGAGCTACAGTGGCCGAGAAAGGAGAAAGGCCACTTTGCGGAGCAAGCCCACACACATTCTACAGCCAGCACACATACCGCCTTTCCAATCTCAACCACCTCCCCTCCACCTACCTCCAGCATTCCCTACTCATCATCCCTGCCTTTTCTCCATAGCTCTTTAACTCTTTATGTTTTATTTATTATTTTGCCTCTTGCTAGTCTACCCAGCTGTAATGTAAGCTCCATAAGAGGAGAGTTTTTGTATGTTTCGTTCACCACTGTGTTCCCACCACCCAGAACAAGATTTGGCATACAGCAAGTGCTTAATAAATACATGTTGAGTAAATTAAAGTGGCCTCCATTTATCCCTGGCAAGATGAGCATGAGCCAACCACGAAGAAGGAGCCAGCTTTCCAAACCCCCAGCTGTTCTCACAGAAGGCTCGGGCAGTCATCTCTCCGACACAGTTCCCCGACCACAGACCATGATGCAGGAACAGTGACCCGTGTCCCCTCTCTGGAGAGACGGCCAGAACCGACGACCCAAGCTTCTGAAGATCTTACTCTCATTTTGCTCAAGCCCCAAACCCAGAATCACCCTAGATTCTTCCTTTTCCCTCACTCCCCACACATGGGGTCCTCTTCATTTAGTTGCCAAACATGTTTTGAAGCTGCCTACTCTGTCTCTGTCTCCTTTTCCACCACCCTCATCCAAGAAGCCCTCCTCTCTGCCTGGACCTGAAGTACCTGAAGTAGCCTCCCAGCTGGGCTCTCTGCCCCTCCTCTCAGCCTCTGCAATGCAGCCAGGCACAGGGGAGGTGGCCCAACTCAGACCAGGAGAGGAGGCAGGCAGGGGAGGACCCTCTGAAAGCCCTGGACTCTGGGAGCCCGTCTCAGCAGGAAAGGAAGGGTCCTTCGGTTCAAACTCCATGCAGCATGTTTTAAGATTTTATTTTTTTTCCTTTTTCTCCCCAAAGTCCCCCAGTACATAGTTGTATATTCTTCCTTGTGGGTCCTTCCAGTTGTGGCATGTGGGACGCCGCCTCAGCGTGGTTTGATGAGCAGTGCCATGTCCGCACCCGGGATTCGAACCAGCGAAACACTGGGCCGCCTGCAGCGGAGCACGAGAACTTAACCACTCGGCCACGGGGCCAGCCCCTCCATGCAGCATGTTTTAAAACATTTAAAGCATAAGGTAAGAGTATCTTCTCCCTGCTCAGAAGCTGTCAGTGACTTTCCTTTGCTCTTAGAAGGAAATCTGAAGCCACTGAACCTCTTCTGCTGCCTCACTGGCCTTTTCTCACTACACTCAAGTCCCATTGGCCTCTTCTCTCATTTTCAAATACACCAAGTTTTGCCCATTTGTTTTGCAGTTCCCCTCCTCCTATAATGCTCTTTCTCATCCTTTAGGCCTCTGCTCAAATGGTCCCTTCTTGGGGAGACCTTCAGGGCCTGGCTACCTGAAAGAGAGCCCGTCCCTGCAGATGTTCTGTATCACACCGCCATGGTTGTTTCCTTCCGGGTTCTACCACTCTCATAATTACTTTGTGAATTAGTGTATTGTCTGCCTCCTCACTAGAGTGTGAGCTCCATCAGGGTAGGGAACTTTGTGATCTCCTGTCTTCTGATGCCTATCAAGGGGAAGGTGCTTGAGGAATCCTCTTTTGACGGAATGAATAGAGGAGCCTCTACTTATTCACATCCCATCAATCTTTCACCCACTGCAGTGGAGCTTGAGATGTCTCAGTACACACACAGACACACTCATAGTCACACACAGTCACACACCGACATCCCCACAGAGGCACAGGCTCACACACTCACACTCACAGATACTCAAGGTTGCAGTCACCATTGACTCTCATTGCAACCTTTTCACCCTGCTCGGCCTCTGACAAGGCTCTGCCACTTTGGATATCCTCTCCTTTGGAAGTCGCCTCCTTCCTCACAAGGCTGGATCACTCCATGTCCTATGAGCCTCTGGGACATTGCTTTTCCCTCTGACCAATGCACTCTGCCAATTCTTTTAGACCAATTCTTTCACCCCTTCCTCAAGGTAAGGTTCAAACATTACTTCTTTGAAGTGTTCGCAGATCCTTGACATCTTGCCCTTTCCTCTAGGCATCCATAGATTGTATCATTACTAGAACGTCTATGTGTTTTGTTGTTGTTGTTGCTATTGTTGTTTTGTGCCTCTCTCTCCTAGGTAGACCGTGGCGCTTCTTGAAGACTGGGATCTTTCTTATTCATTATATTGTATCCCCAAGGCTCACCAGAGCACATGTACATAGGAGATGCTCAGTATGTGTGAGTGGAATTGCATGGGAGGCCTGGCCCTTTGTCACATGATCTCTTAGTTCTGTGACTGTCTTTGGTTCCTTCAATGACTCCTCCCCCTGCCACGTTGCCTCCTAAATGTGATCATTTCCCGAGTTTCCCCTCTCAAACCTCTCCTGAGATTTCTCCATGCCCTTTTCCATAGAGATATCAGAGTTTACAGTAGCTCCTCAATTTCGAGCACACAGGAAGCCCTAACCATGTTGAATCTCCCTCATGGCCCTGAGGCCAGCCCTATTGTTGACCTCTCCTGCCCTCTGCCTGGCCAAGCAGCTTCAGTGGACAGACCTTATTGTTTAAAGCATTTCTGAAGAACAATTCTGACCCTTGATGCATACATCCTATGCAAAAGAAATGGGACACTGGTTTCTGCCTTGTGCCAGGAGGACATGACCTTAGAAAATGACTGCTCAAGACTCTTGGGGCTGGTGCTCTTTGGGATGATGGGTCACTTTTCAGCATCCTCTGAAAATAGGAAGGATAGAGCCAAAGGAAGTTTAGTCCAGGGGGCTACTCTACCTCCTCAGCTCATGCAGTTGGGTTTTAGAGACTGATTCCAATGAGGACAGCATTTCTGTAAATGCACAATCAGGTCACACAGCCAGAAGACAACAGCAAACCCTCTGAATTCAATGTGGCCACCAAGCACTTAGGACCACTCTCCAATGGCATTGTTCTTAGAATTATATAATAGGTCTGGATGGGCGATCTCAGGAAAATGGCAAGCAGGTACAGTTCTAGGGTAACGATAATTAGGGTCCCAAACTCCCACCCACCGCACATCATTAGCTCTTGCATGTTTGCCCTAAACCTGAAGTGCTTCACTAGGCCTGAGTCCTTAATTAAACAGTATGGCAACGCCTGCATTTCTACCCCCACCCAAATGAACGTCAAAAGCCAGTTGGCAAGGTTTAAGGGGAAGAGCACAGGCTTTGAACTGAAACAGATCTGGGTTTGAATCATGACACCCCGACTTGTGGACTTCATTCAGGAAACATTTACTGCAGTCATTCTATGAGCCAGACATTGTACTTAACCCTGGGGAGAAAGACGAAAACAGAACAGACATAGCCGCTGGACAAATTACTTAAACTTGTGGACATCTGCTTCTCATCTAAAATGGGGTAATGACTACCCTCAGAGATGTTGGGAGGATTTTGTGAAATACTATGTGTAATTGTGGAGTTATTCATATTATCATCATTGTTATTATCATCATAATAAAGCAACGTGTGTGAAATACCATGTAAAAAGTCATACAATTGTTTAAACGCTTGAACTCAATATTTATCCTAAGAAATTTATCCTAAGGAAAAGCCCAGATACAAAGATATATATGAAGGAGAGAGATGGGAATGAAATAAAGCACCTACTAGATATATATGTTTTTCAAGGCACTGAGTGAAATACCTACTATTCGTCAATTCATAAAAATGAACAAAGGAAAAATCATACAAGCAATCTAAATATCAACAATAGCAGTGAATGGAATATTTTACAGTCACTTTAAGTAATTATAAAGACTATGTAGCAACATAGAAAAATGCTCATGACATCATGTTAGGTGGAGAAAGTAGGTTACAGAGTGTGGGTATGTGGAGGGTGATTGCAGCTGTGTCCATTCCCGTGCATAAGCACAGCCACACAAACACAAGGCTCACTCTAGAATGATGGATTTATGAAGGTGATTCTTTCCTCTCCACCTGCCAAACTGTTTGCAGTGTTGTTTTATTGCTTCCTATATTATTTTTATAGGTGTCATTTCTTTCTCTTTGCAGGTTATTTCACTCTCTCCTAAATGGCCTCCCCATCAATGCTGAGAGGAAAAGATAAAGATATTTTCGATGCTTGAAAGTCTTGGTAGACAGCAAATCTTTGAAGAGACATCAGTTGCATTCAATTTATTGCTGTTTCCTGAAAAAAAATGCAAGAGTTAGCCCTTTATATTTAGCTCTTCAACTACTCATACCAAGCCTTCAGGAACTAAAGTCCTGCCACAGCAGCATCCACCAGCACCACCTCCCACTGGAGGACTTTATGTCCCCAGGAGGCCCATAAGCACAGGCTGACTTCCCTTCCATCTATCCATCCACTTATTCTACCATCTACCTGTCTATCCATCTGGTCATTTGCTATCTGTCCATCCATATATCCCATCCCTCTGCTTATCCGCTCATTCATCCACCTTTCCTTGGAAGGGCATCATCACAAAATTCCCTTAGAGGAATTAGGGATTTATAAAACCGTCCTGATAGTTCAGCTGACGATTAGTATGAAAAGACAAGGTCCAGGTTCCCAAATGGGGTCAATGGTACAACAGGGCAGGATTCAGGAGACGTGCTTCTCATCTTCTCTCAGTCCCTGGTTTAGCAATTAGCCATGCTCCCAAGGCCCATCCTAGGAAGAAAGAGCTCCAGTAATCAGGTCACATTTGTCACCAGGGACCTCCCTGTCCCAGTAGCACCCAGCTGGCTGGCTGGAGCAGGATCTTCAAGGCATTCCAAGCATTTTCCACCTAAATCTGTCACATACTAGCCCTGTAGGTGGAGTGGGTGAGGCTGTGCAGTATGCACTTGTCAAGCTGCCAACTGAAAACCTGTTTTAATCAATTAAATAATGGATTCTCACTACATAAGCCTGGACTGTGACCTTCTCAATCAAGCACTAATTGGGGTTGATGAGGACAATCTAACCTGAACCTTCTCACCCTGCATCAGACTGCTCAGAGTCTTACATTAATCCCTAATGAGGTTAGACGAGAAAACTGAGCCAGGGTCTGCTCAGTGAGTGGGATGTGCTCACAGAACAAACTAAAGCATTCAGCATTTATTGAGTGTGTGTTCTATGTGAGGTCCAGTGCCAGATGCTAGGAATGCGGGGACGAACCGAGCACGTTTCCTGCCTGTGAAGAACATATAGCCTAATGGAGAAAGCAGACCCTAAAACAGTGACAATCAGTGTGTAAGGGGCCATAACAGTGGGAAGGACAGGGTGAAGTGACAGCCCAGAAGTGGGAGCAGCCACATCTGTCCAGATAATCCCAGAGGCTTCAGGGAAGGAGGCAATGGAACTGGGCCTGGCCGAAACCAGGAGACATTCCTGTTTCCTGCCAGGTAGACCCAAGGAAAAGCATGGAGGGGCCAGGGAGAGGACCCTCCGAAGATGCAGGGAGCTCGCTGCTCACATAGCAGCAGCCACCCACTTTAACAGTGCAGCTCAAACAAAAATGTAAGCCACAGAAGGTCCTCCTGGTGCTCCTGGAACGCATTTCAGCCTCACGCCTCCAGCTCACTGTTCTTGTTCTCCATTTTTCCTAGAATGGCTTCTCTTCTCTCCACCTGGCCCTAAGTCCCCCAACCTTCTACACTCCACTCGCCCTTCAAGGCTCAACTCTCAGGCCACCTCTTCTGTGAAGAGTCTTCTGTGAAGACTTCGTGGAGTGACTTACCCCCAGGGCCATCCCCTCTGCTCTCTCAATGTTTTATATCTAACTCTAGGCCCACATGTATTAGGTTACATTCCAGCTGGTCTGTGGAACCTATCTCCATCAGCCTTCATCTTTATAAAGCCTCAGTAGCCCACATGGTACGAGGCACACAGTAGGTACTCAACATCTGATTGTCAAGGGACTAACTCCTCTCAGGGTCAGCTCACACTCAGGGGATCCAGAGGCACCATCCAAACCCACTCCTGCAGGACTGAGCTTGTTGTCATGGCAGGAAGCCACCAGCTAACTTGGGAAAAACAAGTCTATATGGAATTCAGCCAGCTCCCCAGGCAGTGTGCTACAGACAAGCTACCACTCCAACACACGCCATATTTTTGAATGTTTACAGGAAGCCTGGTGCTCGCTGGGCACCAGCCAATGAGCAGCCACCCCACAAGTCCTGACTGAGCACTCACAATGCAGAACCCACCACAGCACCAGGACCTTCAGTGGCTGGAAAGAATGCCTAGTCATCAAAAATGAGATAAAGTTGTTTATTTTTAATTGATTAAAAGACAATCTGATTGATACTGTCCTCATTATCCTTTCCTGACTGTCCCATAGCAGGCTCTTCTTACTTTATAGCCAGAGTTTTATTAAAAAGAAAACTTTAAGACAATCTGAGTGGGAGTAGCAAAGGTTCAGGCGCACAGTCACTGACTAACATTTACTGATAGATTACAAATAGGATCCAATTTGCTATACACCTAGTTAGTCATGTTTGAATGGGGAAGCAAGGAGGTATTGAGTGTGTGTGTGGACAGGAGAGGGGCTGGAGGGCACTGGGAGGGTCGGAGGAGCAGGACTGCAGAGGCCTCTGAGGGGTGCTGTCAGGGCAGCAACGTCATCGGGAGGACAAGCCCCATGTTGTCAGGCTCCTGCCCAAGTTGTCCTTCCTGCCTCAGCTCACCTCCCTTCCCACTCAAACCCTAAGCCTGGGGCCAAAGAGATGTTCCATCCCTTTAGTTCTCCTGCCCTGCATGGGAACAAATGATTGTGCCTTCTTGTTTAGAAAAAATGGGGGGGGGGGGTGACTTTTTCATTTGAAGACGCAGCCTGGCTTGGGGGACACGTGCAACCTAGGACACTGTCCTCTTACTCTTGGCAGGGCTCTGCTACCTGCCCCCACATGCTGCCTTCACCTTTACCAACACGGTCCAGGCAGGTGAGGAAAAAGCACTCTTGCTGTTTCTCACCTGGGCCTCTGAATTGAAGGCAGTCCTACCCACCCACCCCCAGCTGGCACCTCCAGAGGCCTCTCGGTCTTCCTTCCAAGTGGGCGTCTGCAAGCAGGTAGGCTGGCTGCTTTTTTCTCTTCTCCTTCTCCCCTGTAATCCCCCCAGGAGATGCTTCAATTCCCCCAGTGTTGCCTGCTCTCAGGGCCCCATCTACTCGCTGGTGCATTTCTCTGATCTTGGGTCCTCTGTTCCAGCTGCACGTTAGCAGGCCAGATGCTCACTGGGCTTGTCATTGACGGTCCTGTCAGTCACCCCTTAGGCCCCTCCTCCCAGAGCCCCTGACATCTGGCACTGCGCTCTCCTGGCTCCCACGCAGGACTCGCTGGGGCCTGCCTCACTGGCAAACCTCTCCTCAAGCCCAGTAGCCATTTGCACACATCCTGGGCAGTGGTGGGGCTTCTCACCTCCGAGCCTCCCTCTCCACCTCCAGGCCAACCAGGCACAGGGCCCCATTGCTCAGTTTTGCCCAGACCCTCCACACCTCATGCTTACGTCTGCCTCGACTGTTCCTATTGCTCCTGAAATGAAACGAAACTCAGTGCCTGCCCCCCCACCAGCCACTTCTCAAAGTCTGAAAACCCCCTTTCAAACCCCAGTTCTGCGACTTACTAGGCAATGGACACGGGCAAATATTTTGAAGCTTCCAGGGACATACCACATCTGGAGAAGGATGAAGGAGGATTCCAAGGATTGAATGAGAGGGAGCGTCCTTGTAAACTAGAACTCTGCACTGAGTTATTGGCCTCCGGCCACAGGCTGACGGGTTACTTCGTTGTTTGTCTTCACCACCTGAATTACATTCTCTCTCTTGCTCAGGATGCCGAGTCCTCTCTGAAGTCTGACTTCTCTGCTGGTGTCTGGTTTTCCCTGCTTCTGGCCTCTCCCTACTCATGGTTGGTGCCTTGTAGAGGCCTCCCTGCTGTACAGCTGGCTCAACACTAGGTGGCAGCCTGACCACAGGCCCTTGGTGGTTTAGCCCAGGCCTCTGCGTGGCTCAGAACCAACGCCTGAAGCTTTAACCTGGCTGCCCTGTGCCAGGCCTGTCTCATGATCCACCTTACTCCACAACTGTGGCAGTTGGCGGCAGAGACCCAAGGAAACCTTCCTGCTGCTAAATACAGGCTGAAGCTGTGGAGACAAAAGGAGGTTTGGACTAGGTCCCATCAGCTCTGCAGCCAGCTGGGGCCAGTTTTGTAGAACAAAGATCCAGCACAGCCCACTGGTAGAGCGTGGAGGGAACTGAGGCCTGGGTGGCAGCAGAGGGGCTCAGCACGGTAGCCTGTCAGGCCAGAAGGCTGCTTTACCTACAGGGCCTGGAGTTCCCTGCAGCCCCTGTGGCCGAGGCCCCTCTGGGATTCCCCTAAGCATGGTGACACAGGCTTTCTATGTTCTACCTTCCTCTCCACTGACTCCTTCCGCTCAACACAAGAGCATGACCAAGGCTTTCCCATTCTAAAGCAACTCTTCCTTGACTGGTCTCTCCCTTCTCCACCCCTCTCTCTGGCCTTACCTTCTTAGGCAAACTTATTTCAACAAGATGCCTCTCTCTCTCCCCTCATCACCTCCCACTCACCCAACACACTGTATTCTGACTTCTCCTCCCGTTCTTCAAAATCTGTGGTCCTGGAGCCAGCTGTGCTCCCATATTGCCAGCTCCAAGCCCTTTCCAGTCTGTCTGACTGCATCTCTTCAACACGGGCCACAGTTATACTCTCCTGGATACACTCTTTCTGCTCGTCTCCAACTCTCTTTAAAATGTTCTTCTTGATCTGCTTCATACATTCCACTCAAACCCAATACCCTTTGCCTTTTACCTAAAACTTATATCCCAAAGATTTCCAAATTCTGCTATAGGCCTTGACATCCCCTCAGCTCCAGTGCCCTATCTCCAGCTGACTCAACATGCCCAAGACTCAACTCACCTCTCTGCCCGCAGGCCTGATGCAAAGCTGTTCCTCCTCCTGTTCTCTGACTCAGCGAAGAGCATCCCCAGCGACCCAGTGGAAGGCACAGTCAGACCACTGGAAGTCATCCTTGACTCCTCCCTGTCCTCCCCACCCACATCCACTTGATAGGCATGTCCTGTTGATTCTACCCCCTCAGTACCTCTCAATTCTCTCCCAACCTCCAGTTCCCTCCCCCTGCCCAGGCCAGGTCCTCATCTTCTCTTTCCTGAACCACTGCAACAGCCTCCTCACGGCCTCCCTGCTCTCACTCCTGCCCCCACCACGGCATTTTCCTCACTACAGTCAGTTTTCTTTATACAGTGCAGAGCCAAACAAGTCATTTCTATGCTCAGAACCCTTCAGGGCCCCGAGAGTAGCATCCAAATGCTACTGCATGGCCCACAAGAACCTTCATGACCTGGGTCTGTCTTCCTTGTCCAGTCACCTAGCTTGGCAGCCTCCACCCCCCAACCCTCTCTCGGCCCCAGCAAGTGTCCCTGGGCACCCCATGCCTCACCTTCTCCTGTACCTTCTGTCTGCACTTCCTCTCCCATCTCCCTTTTGTCCACTGAGACTCTGTTCAGAATTGCCAGCTCCCTAACCCTCATTCCGTGTGGGGTGCCCCTTCTCTGATCAAAGTACTCAGTGCTGTAATTGCATGATCACATGTCACTAGACCCCGAGCTTGAGGACAAGAACTGTGTTTTTTGCTCTTTGGGTCCCCAGCACCAAGTTCACTGCCTGACACAGAGAAGGGATTAAACAAATGTTTGTTGGATGGGCGATGGACGAATGGGAAAATGAAAAACTATTGTCCAGGAAAAGTTCCCTGCTACTCAGAGGTGGTCTAATATTTCTATTCCTCACATTAACCTCAAGCCTCCAGCACCTATTACCTGAAGCCAGACCTCAGACCCCAGACCGACCCAAAGCAACACAGCTGGATGCGTTCCTGGGACCAGGGGGTGGCAACAGCCTCACTAGGTTCACAAGCAAAAAGTTTAGGCACTGAGTAGAATGCAGGCACTGCAGGGCTCCCTCACTTCGGCCCAGAAGGACACCCTTATCAGACCAGGGAGATGGGAGCAACGCAGTTAAGCACTTGATCAGAGGACAGAACCAACCTCTCTGCAGTTTGTCCCTACAGGAGAAGGGAGCTCTGAGCCACGGGTCAGCCGGGGGAAATGCAGAACAAGAGCACAGAATGCAGGATCTCTGTTGATGATTTAAATGGGATGCAAACACATGAACAAGTCTCAAGGACAAAGAGCTCCTGCTCCCATTACTCATAACCACAAAGCTGCTACAATAGCACTGACGATGTTGCCTTGCATCAGCGGGGCATAGTTTACAGGATGGGTCTTTACTCCTGCTCTATTTCACTGATTGCTCTCCCATCATACTGCCTCTTAAAACCGGAGCCATCCTTCAGGACCCAGTGCAAATGCACGACCTGTGACGCTTTCCCGGCGTACCCATCGCCAGTCTGAATTAAGCTTTATTTCCCCCACACTTCTATAGAACACAGGTCATAATTCTTTTACCACACTGATCTCAATTTCTCTTTCATTGGTATTTCGTATGACCGTCTTCCTCTACGTCCCTGACAGGGTTATAAATGCCTGGAAGGGAGGAAATGTGTTTCTTCCGTGTCTGCATGCCCCATGGCTCTAGCCCTGTGTTCTAAGCATTTGATACATGCCCACTGAATTGAATAACAATGTTCAAGGCATTACAAAGCACCATGCAGACAACTAGGTTGATAAGTTGAAAATAGATGGGGAAAAAGAGTGATCACATGGGTGGGGCTCACCTGGCAAGATTTCCTGGAGGAGGTGTGGCTGGAGGAGACTGTGCAAGGAGGGGCTGAGAAGCATGAAGGAAGCTTGACAGTCATCTTAACTTATGGCCAGGTTTCTCTCCTTCCTTACCCGCCTCTTCTCCCCAGCCCAGTACAGGATAGTGGCTGTATAGGACAGTGGTTAGAAATGTGGACTCTCAGGACAGACCGCCTGGATGTATATTTAGCTAAGCCACTATTAAGTGCCACCTTGGGCTGGCCACTTCACCCACCTAGTCTCAGTGTCCTCCCCTGTAAAGTAATGATAAAGCAATACCTACCTCACTGGATTGTACGAGGATTTAACGAGTTAATCCATATAACTCTCACTAGGTGCCAATGGATAATCTCACTGCTTTATATAGATTAACTCATTTAATCCTCACACAGCCCAGCGAGGTTGGTACCATGGTCCCCACTTTACAGAGGAGGAGACTGAGACTCAGAGAGCATGGGGTGGGGAGGTCACTAGCAGATCCCACCCAAAAATGCCAAACATTCTCCAAATATGACAAACTTGGACATCCTCACCGCAAACCACCCAACTCTTTCCTTGAAGAACCAGACCACAATTACAGCTCAAAATAAAAATAACTTTGCCTTCGTTATAATTTGAGAACCATCTGCAAAACGCATTCACATTTGTCCTTGCTACACCCTACGGGAGGGCCATCACCACCCCTGCTTTTCAGATGAGCCCCTGAGGCCCAGAGAGGGGCGGGAGTTGTGGGAGAAGTTGGCCTCAAAGGCAGGACCGCGGCTCCATCAGCAGAGAGCCTCCCCGCTACGCCAGAGCCACCTCCAGCCCAGAGCCTGGGCCTCAGGGAATCAGGCAGATGGCAGTAGCCCCACACTCTCCTCTTCCTCATGCCCCCTCCAGGGGCTGAACAACTTGTCCTCCAGAGGAATCCTCACCAGCCTCTCCCAGAGCCTGCCAGGACTGCTGGAGGCTAGCTCATACCATCGGGAAGGTCGGTGAGTTTCTAGAAAATCCCCCTGGGCTCCAGGGTCTAGAGACGACAGAAGACAAGAGGACATCACCAGAGGATGAAGAAAACAGTGTCTAAAAGTGATTTTCACAAGAAAAGATCTAGTTTAGAAGACTGCAATTTTCCATCTCTAGAAAAATAAAGGAAATGAACCAAAAATTTATATATAAAATACAAATGGTCAATAAACACGTGGAGGAAAAATGATGTTCTCCTCACAATCAATGAAAGGAATTCAAATGACAGCCCTGAGATGTCATCAAGTAAAATGGGGACTTTTTAAAATTATAAAATGATATCCAGGGGTTTGTAGAGGCTGGACCTTACGGGAATGGGAACTGAAGCCCCCTTTGGAGAGAGTGGCACAAAAATATATGTCTAGGAATATTCACATTACATGTTTTACAAAAGAAAAAAAAAGGAGGAAAGCTAACTAGCTAAAGAAGGGAATAATGAAATAAGGAACAGCACCTCCATTCAGTGGAATTCTTTGCTACAACTAAATATGATGTAGAAATGCAGAAGATTATTTAATGACCTTAAAAGTTAATTATGAAAATCAGGTAAAAATAAACAGTATATTGTATTTAGAATAATCCCCATATTATAGAAAAATATGTGTATCCGGGGCCACTATAACGAAGTGATTAAAAGCCCAGACTCCAGAGCCAGAGCACTTGGGTCTGACCCTGAAACTGCCCTTCACAAGCTGTGTGGATTTGGGCAAGTCACTTAACTTCTCTGTGCCTTGTTTTTCTCACTTATCATAGAAATAATAATGGTACCTACCTCACCGATGCCAGGAGGATTGAGTGAGTTCATAACTGGAACACAGTGTGTTAGCCGTTATTATCCCTGCTTATGCACGCACAGCACAATGACTGGCAGGACACACAGCCCAATGATTGTTTCTCATGGGTGGTGTTAGAATAATGCTTTTTCTAAATTTTCTTTCATGTACCTCTAGTACTTTTAATAAGGAAAAAATAAAAGTCCAGACCGAGATACAAGGAACTGATGATTTACTAAGAAATCAGGGCGGGGAGAGGGAGAACCCTTGACTGTGAAAGGCCAGGACTGGGGAAACCAGAGTACCCAGACTGGGTGATGGTTAACTTAATGTCATCGTAGCTAGCCATGGGGCCCAGGTGTTTGGTCAAACATCAGTCTAGATGCTACTGTGAAGCCATTTTTTAGATGTGATTAACATTTAAATCAGTAGACTTTGAGTAAAGTAGGTAATCCTCCATAATGTGGGTGGGCCTCATCTAATCAGTTGACAGCCTTAACAGAAAAAGACTGAGGCCCCCCAATGAAGAGGGAACTCTCCCTCAGACTGCCTTTGGACTCAAGACTACAACTCTTGCCAAAATTCCCAGGCTGGCAGCCTGCTGTGTGAACTTCAGACTTGCCAGCCCAGCAACGATGTGAGCCATTTCCTTAAAATAAACTCTCTCTATTGGTTCTGTTTCTCCGCAGAACCCTGACTAATACACAGACCAGGTGAAGACACCAGTGAGAAGGATTCCAGCACCAGGCTCCGTTTCACAGCCTCCCGGGAGTGGTGAGTCAGCCTGTAATTATCACGGCCTATATCTTCTTCACCGCCTGTAGGGACAGTTAGCATTATGGCCAAAAAACCAGTCGGAGGACTGTTAGTGCCTGGAAGTAAGAACACACGTTCCTCAAGGAAGAAACAAAAGAAAATCACACCCCCTTTCACGGTGGCGCAGCGTCGGCCCTTCCCTTCCCAGACGAGGCACCTTGAGGACTTCGCCTCACACCTTGCAGGGTTCCGCGTTTGGTTTGCCACCTGGCAGCAGTGGGATCAAACAGAGACAAGGCAAGCGGAAGCTGCATTCCGGGAGGAGGAGCGCCTGTGAACGTGCGCCCATCCGGATAGGAACAAGCCAGGGGCAGAATTTGGACTGCAGCCCGGGGACGGGTCTGCACCCCATCGGCCGGCAGCCGCCCGCGGGCCCCTCCCGCGCCGCTCAGGACTCCATCCCCAGTAAAACCTCGGGGCTTCTTTTAACTCGGATCTTAGGAATGGACAGCAAAAAGGCTTAGTAAAAATGATGGAACCCACGTTACTATATAAATGACTTGAACTTTGATAAAAATATTAACTTAAGCAAAACTGTATTCACAACAAATTACAAAACAATTCACAGAGCGCTTCCGGGGTTAACGGGAGCCCTCCTCACCGAGGATTGGGTGAACCGCGCCGGGGTGGTCCTCTCTGGCTTTCCTTCTCGGGCTATTCTGGTCCTGTGTCACCCGCTGAACCTCTTCTTTGTCAGCCTCCAAATAGTCACATCCTTGTGGAATGGATGTGGAATTTCCTTTCGGAAATCACAGAGAATTTTCTGGCTTTCCATTTCAAGTTGCTCTATGTTCGGAATTTTTATCCACGTATTCAAACTACTTCTGGTCCTATTTTGCTTCTGAAGAGAGAGACATGTTGAAATATAAGGAGATTTACCTTTTACAGATGAACACACACACATACTCATACTTCAACTGTGTTGTGTTCTAGAAACTAGTACAGACCTCCCTCATGACCAGAGGATCCTCTGGTTTTTCTGTTTAGCCACATCGAGCTGGCTTGAGCAAGGACTTTGAGCCTAGTCCTGAACAGCTGTGTTCTGTTATCATCAGAGGTCTTGACACGTCCTCGTAATTGACATCAGACATTTATTACTGAGAGCCTACTTTTACAGTCATCAGGAAAACCATTTAAGACTCATTATTTTATTTACTCTACACACCCTGCATGAAGGAAGAGGCGTTAATTACGTAAGCTCCATCTTTAGAGCCGAGCCAAGGCTCGGAGAAATTAAGGGGTTTGTCCTAAGTCTCTGAGTTGGTAAGTGGTAGAACCAGGATATCCAGAGATCGGTTGGCCTGCGAAGCCCTCCGTTTTCCATTTTCACAACAACAAAAAAGGTCATGCCTGCCCAAGGACAGGCCAAGAAGGGAGAGATTCAGAAGCAGGGAGGGAGGCCCCAAGTTCTTGGCTGACGACAGCAAAGGAGGTGGCTAAGACCGTCCGTTGTCTGTGATCCCACATGATGCCTCAGCTCCCACGTCTCAGAAAGCTGCTTTTGAGGACTGGCCCTCCTGTGGGGCCACCCTGACACAGGCCAGTATTCCTGAGTGTGACCGTCCACCCAGGCCCTTGTTCCCACACAACTCCGGGGGCTGTGAAAGAGGGCTGCATGCTGACGTAAAATACTTTATCGACCACTCATGGGTGTTCGTGCCCCCCACTCTCCCCGCAACCCACCTTGGAGGCAAATGGTGTGTATGGAATAAAAATCATAGCACCAGTCCTATCTCCACCCAAAACTTGTGTCTTTGGACATGTCACTTTGCCTTTTTGAAACTCAAGTGCCTCCTATGAAACAGGGGAACAATGAAAAGAATCCTTCGGGTGTTAGTGAGAAGTTAAGATATCAGGTGTGGGGAGTCACCTCAGCGCAGTGCTGGCACCCATTCGGGTCACAACCACCATCCAGCTTTCCAGGCCTTGCCCATGACCAGCTCCCCAAGATGGTCAGGGACTCTGGTCCAGTGGTCAGGCCCACACTGGTGTGCTTGGAGAAAGGGGACTTCTGTTTTGGCCACTGCTGCCACTTGACCAGCATATATTTGAAAAATAATAGCACACACATGTGCCAGATAAGTATTCCTTATACGCCAGTGGTTGGCAGGCATGTGGATTCATGGAGCCCTTACAATAATTGCAAAGGCCACCAGGCATCGGAAATCTTCGATTCAGGACTCAGGGAGTGCAAGCAGGTTCTTAGCACTCAGGTGGGAGGACTGGGCAGCGCGACACTCAATCACTGCCGGGGGCGTCCCACAGCAGCTCTACATGCAGGTACTGGAGGCAGCCTCGCTGCAAGGCTGCGTCCAGCTTTTTGCACCACAAAAGTTGTGTATATGGAATATTACTTCCTGCTGTCTCATAGACAACTATGGGTTCACTTTGCATTGATCTGTAAATAATGGCTGCTAATATTAGCTTTATATTTGTTTGTTTTGAAATAGTTAATGGTGTATAAACAAATACAAAGGTAATTGAAAGAAGTCTGTGGTAAATCCTTTTGTGGGAAAATAAGCATCCTTTTGCTAGTGAATAATCAGCCACCGGCTTTTTCTAATTTTTGTTTTTGGATTTTACAAGAAGTATTAATTATTATTTATAGATTTGTGTTTCTTAAAGGGTAGACTGATCCAATTGAACAGCAATTTTGCGAGCATTCCTCTTCTCTGTGTTCAAAAGGACTGCTCACTACTACTACCTCAATAACAACAGTAATACCCCACCCACGTCCTAGTGTTCATCAGTTTACAAAGCACTTTCACACCCGCTGTGTATTTTTAACCTCAGAGTAACCAAGTGGTGTAAACAGAGCTTATTACTATTTTACAGATCAGAGAACTGAGGCTCAGAGAGGTTAAGGAATCTCCTCCAGCCCTGGAGCCAGTGACGTGTGGAGCTGTGCTGGTCTCTTTCCACCCCTGAAGATAAGAACCATGCCTGTGTGCCTTCTTGTCTTCCTGACATCCAGCTGGTCTGCAGATAATGAATGTGTAAATTTACTAATAGCCAGTGGCCCCTAGAATGACCCCAGAGGCCCATGGCCCACCACACCCTACCCTCTTCTGTTAAATAAGGACTGTCTTCCAAGCCGCACAAGTAATCCCTACTTAATGACTTTCACCTTTGCACACCCTCATCTTCCTTTGTCATTCAGTGTGCTCAGAACACCCTGTCATCACTTTTTAATCCTGGCTACCTCCCTGGGAGGGTAGGTGCTCTGATCAATGAAGGAGGAAATAGTCAAAAGTAGACCAACCCCTAGTGGAGACCAGCACAGACAGGTTTGTAGGGTTTTCCGGAGACGAGCGCAAATCCAGTCCGTCCTGACTAGAGGTGCATTGGAATGTTTCCACATTTGATCCTGGGCTTCCCTTAGCCTTGGATGCTGAGTTATCCCACTCTATCCCCATGAGAACAGGGATGAAGCCCAGTAGCTCTAGTGGGATGGCATATGGGGCCAGGCATGGTGTGGGGGACACATCACCCAGCCCTCATGCTTTTAGGGGAAAGCCGTGTTCTCCTGAAGAATGACAAGGCTTCCATGTCAAGTCATCACACATTTACTGCAAACCAGCCTTGTCCTCAAAGAGGGGCATGATCAAGAAAGGATGATTAAGCAAATAGATAAGAAATGATAATGATGGTAGAATAAAATAAAGGCTATAAAGATGCACCAACAAATGACCATTGAGGGCAAGCTGTTTAAGAGACATTCCATCTGGTGAGGATAATCTGGAAATACATTATGGAATCAGTGGTGTTTGAGCTGCTCTGAATGGAAGAAGGCCATTTCCATGGAGGGTTTGGAGAGGAACACATTCGAGGCAGAAAGAAGGGCTTGAAGGAAGGCAAGAAGGCAGCATGAGCTCGGGTTTTGTAGGAATGACAGGTCCATACTTTTGACCAGAGATTATGATAGGAATAAAGACGTAGCAGGAAATGTATTGTGGGGGCCTGGAATTGGCCACCCCAAGATATGCCTCTTTGGCATGAGGATTATTTGGGGCTGGTTGCTTTTAATACACTGCAGACAGGAAAGCAACTGAAAAGTAGAATTTACTTACATTTTGTTAAGAGACATTTACATTTGTAAGAGAAATCTCCATCTGTAAAGTTGTCTCCCTCTCTGTACCAGGAAGAACGGGAGCACAGATGACCTTATCTCTAGAAACTCTTAATCAATGCCAAAGGCAAGGACTTAAATCTGCATTTGTTTACTGTATTTGTGTGGTAATCTCCCATGATCAGCTTCCCCTCCACCCCCAACATCCTCCTTTGTCTTTAGCTGGATATAATATTTAAGGTGGGGGCTTCAGCCATTTTGGCAAGTTGCTCAGCTTGCCTGAGCCTCTCCCATGTATACATGTTATAAAGCTTTGTTTAATTTTCTCCTGTTATTCTGTCTCATGTGAATTTAATTCATTCTCTGGCCAGACGAACCCAGAGAGGGTAGAGGAAATGTCTTCCTCCCCTACAGTATCTTCCCAATACATTTAAGTCAACAAACCTTTGGTACCACCAGGACTGAGCACCAGTGAAGCAGGAAGAGGAGGGACTCTTCCTCCTCCATGATATTTCCTCTTTTTCCTGGTGGGAAGGAGGTTGGACTCTTTGCTTGTTCTAGGAGCTCTGACTATGGGTTGGAGACCTAGATTCAGGAAACTCAGATTCCTTTTCAAATGGCAGCTTCCAGCTTTCCTGGCCAAACCAAGGATGCTAATGATTGTGTTAGCCTCATGCTCTCTGTCTGGCTCGGGAAACAGTGGGGCAACACAACCTGTCAGGTCAGGGATTAGGGCAAGAATGTCTAATAGATACTCACTAAGTCACTGGAAAGTGTGTCAACAGGCACGTCTCTGGTGTCTGCCTAATCCTTTCTGGCATTTCCCAGGTTAAACGTGAGCATCAGGGCTTCTGGATGTTCTGACCAGGACCCAGTAGGGCAGGTTTGGGAGTAGAAGCTCCAGTTGGGGCAGAGAGAGGATACGAGGCCCAGAACTGTCCACTGTTCTCTTTCCCTCTAAGAACCATGCCTGTCACCCTGTCCCTCAGTCAGGATGTGGGGACCATGAGTGAGTAGGTAAATTCTCTCATCACCCAAGCAACTCCAGGCAACAGCTCTCTGGCCTGCAGACCTGTTTTTGTTCTCTTCCAAGGCTGAAGCCCAGGATTATGGAATTTTCTCATCTTCTGCTTTTTTGGGAGGAGCCTTGAATGGCCACCCTCTCATCACTCTCCACTGCCAGGCCCTGGTCCCATATCACCATTCTGTCTCCTAGGTGGAAGTGAAGGTGTCTGGTGAGCAGGCTCTTTGATTTAACACTTTACAACATTGCATCTTCCATTATTAGATATTTATTGTTGGTGTGCATGGCCTGGTCTCCCAATTAGACTGATTTCCTGGAAAGCAGAGTCTTAGTCTTCATTTGTAGCTCACGACGTATAGCAGATACCGGCTGTTAGATACTTGTAGAAGCAAATCAAGTCGAGGTCAGCAATAAATTTCTGAGTACGTGTGTATGAAGGAATCACAGTACAAAAGTGAATTTGCTTCTTTGAGACTTCTGTTTACTCCAACGCAAGTGAGCAGAGGATAAGTGTTTGACTCAACTTCTAATGGCTTGTTGGCCTCTCTCTGCCCCCCAGCACACCCAGGAGATGTAACCACAAAGTCAAGTCATTCGTTTATAGCAACTCGTCACAAACTTTACAAACTAACAAATTTACACACTCAATTAAAGACTGTCAGTCCCAGTCTCTCCCACCTCCTCATCTCCCCCAGCCCCAGCCACCCTCTCCAGCCAACCTCCCTCCACCCAGTACACACATGTACTCAGTTACCTCTACTCCTCTGAAGCCCTAGCTCTTCCCCCTCCCAACCTCCCCACAGACAGTCCTGCCACAGGCGTGAAGAAAGATGCGGGTTTTGGAGGCAGGCAGACCTAAGTTCAGATTCAGATCTATCACTTTCTAGGTACGTGATTTGGGGTAGCTTACTTAACCTCTCTGTTCCTCAGTTTTTTCATCTGTAAATTGGATGTGATGATACATGCTTCATAGTACCTCATCTGTAATACACCTGGCTTGTCACTTCTCTAACTTACTTTCTCTTAGTTACCAAACCTTTCTGGAAGTTGTAAACCCCTTCAGATAAGCCTTAGCACATCATTCACAGAAGAAAGGTCTTGTCTGCTTAACTCCCTAATCTATTGCTCCCCAGCTTCCCCCTCTCATGCTGACCTTCTCCTAACCCTGACCAGTTACCATAGCAACCTCTGCCCCCTCCCCCACCCAGGACTGGAGCATCCAATCCCCTTGCAGACAGACCTCTCCCACCAGAGAGCCTGCCACAGCCCCTCTTGCAGTCTGCATCTCGCCCCTCCTTTGGGCTCCAGGGCTGCCCTCGCCATGCCAGTCACCGCAACCAAGGCCCTTCCTGCACCCTCCCATCCCGACTGTCATTGCCTTTCCTGTGTGCTGCATGCTCACGTGTAAACGAGGAGTAAGAAGACGGCTTTCCTCATCCAAAGAGTCACTCAAGAAGCTACATGTACTTTCTGCTACAGCGCTGCTTAGGAGCCCCTTTGGGACTTAGCTTCAGAGCTCAGAATGCTTCCTTCTCAGCATCCTCAAGGATGGTTGTTCTTCATCCATGGAGGACAAATTTGATGTTTGTAAAGTGCCAAAAGTCACAGAGAGAAGAATAAGTGGCAGAGTGTTATAATAGAGGGGACCGTGGCCCGAGGCTGAGGGGCTCTGGTCCAGCCCCACCCCTCCTTCACTGAGTGGCCACTTCTCCAGAGAGTCTTATCATCCTCATTTATTAAAGGGGCTTAGCCATTCAACCTCACGGGGCTGTCATGAGGATCCAACGAAATGAGATGGCAATGACAATCAAATCAAATCAAACAGTAATTACCATTACTGTTACCCTCTTGGAGACTTTCTCCTGGGACTGCCAGGCTGTAAACTCTGTGAGAGTTGAAACTGCCGCCATCCTGTTCAACACTCTATCCCTCAGGCCTTAGCTCTGTGTCTGAAATGCAGCAGGCTCTCCATAAATATTTGCTGATGAGTCGACCAGTTTAGCTCCCTGTCTTTGCAACGAAGGGGTTGCGCACAACCACATTAAGCCTCTTCTCCCATCAACCACAAAATGCTACCTATCCACAGGATGGGGGGGGGGGGGGGGGGGGGGGGGCGGGTAATTGGCCTTAGTCGTTTTCATCAAAAATGAGGCCTAATCACAAAGATATGAGATTGGATTTCTTGCATGTCTCATAAACTTGGTATGAAAGGCAATTCCCAAACAAGAATTCCAAGAATGTTCTAAGCAATTACAACATCAGCAGGAAAACATGTATAGCCTCCAAAGGTGACCCCTTTGAGAAGGATAACCCTCAATAGATGGATACGTTCTTGAATCTTTGTATAAAAAAAAAGGAGTCCCATGACTGTGCAGCCACATGCAGACAAGGAATGTTCACCAGGAACCCCAACCTGTGCCGAGCTCTGCTGAGCCCATCACGTTGAAAGGAGCCTCCTTGTCATGAGGAGACAGACCAGGGAGAGACGAGGTGGAGAGAGGGCACCAAATGTGGCGGGAGGGGCCTGCTAATTAGACGCACGCAGGCACGTGTCAGCAGGTGAAACGGAGAAGAAGGGAGGTGGGGCTGGGCTGGGCCGAGCCTGGGATGAATCAAGCCTTCCTGTGGGGTGGGGACCTTCCATCTAAAACAGTAGCCTCGATTAAATCCCCTATAAAAGGTTCCTGCCCCACTCACCAGGCACGCCACACACCGCTTAACAGCCACTTGCTGCATCCTGCCTGTGCATTAGGTAAGTCTCCTCCTGAGGAGCCTCTTTCTCATTCTCAGTGTCTTGGAGTTCTGAGCACATAAAACCAGGCTGTCAGATACAGCCTAGGTTGTCAGTGCTGGTTGTGGGTAGAAAGTGTCCCTTTTGATTGCGCCTCAGGCAAACCAGGGCAAACCAGAGCCGGCGCTCGTGGGGCAGGATGCTCTCCTGCAGCAGTCGGCTCTCTCCTCCTCGGACCTCGAAGCAGCTCCTCTTACTGGGAGGCTGTTGGCAGCCACAGCAGAACCACCCACGTGCCTTCCTGGATCAGCAAAGGTCTCTTGTTCTTAAGGTTCTGGAAGCCTCTTTGCAGTGCTGAGAGTCTGTGAGACCAGAATCAGGTTACTTCTGCCAACCTGACAACAGGGTTGAAACTCCTCGTGGAAGAAGGGGCTCACACGGCGGCCCTCCCCCCTCCCAGGGCCATATTTAGGCAAGAAGAGTTTGTGGATTTATTCTAAGGGATCTGAAGTGTAACCTTGCTATTTTTACTGTTTATAGGTCAGTGGTTAAGGTCTGCCATGTGGTAAAAAACAAAAACAAAAAACTAGCATCTTTTCCTATCTCTGTTGAGGTGCAATATTCTGAGTTTTGTACCTTGCTGTATGAAAGAAAGCAAAATCTGCCTGAAAGTTTTGGCCACCAGATCATAGAAAGGACACTCCCTGAAGAGACCACCTAGGTCTGTAACCTTCCAGATCCTTCCAGCTGCACTGCCCTCCTTTCTCAGTGCCAAGACTCCTTCCTTTCCCACTCTCTTGCTTCTCTCACCAGGACTTCCTCTTCCTCTGCCCTCTCCTCTCCATCTCCATGGTACCCCCTCCCCTGGCTTCCCAGCTTCTGCAGCCTTCCATCTCCCCCTGTGTTGGAACCTTGCCATCTCTGAGACCATCTCCTCCTTTTGGTCTCTCCGATGCTTCAGCTTCATGCATCTCCAGGTCTCCTACCTCTTGCCCATCCTGCCACACCCTGGACTCACTTCAATCTGCACCAGGATCCCTCGCTACTGAGAAAGAAAATCTCTCCCTTCAGCTGGGACCCATTCCTCGCAGGCCACCAGGGCTGTGGGCTGGAAAGAGCCACACCCTATGAGCAGGCTGACCTCCCTTACGGGTCCCAGGGCTGAGGGCAGAGGTCACATTCAGAGAAACCTGGACTCTCAGAATTGGAAGGCCTCCCACTCAGGGAAGGCACCCCCCACCCCCGAGCATTCCCAACAGGTGGCAGCCCAGCCTCTTCCTGAATACCTTCCCAAACGAAGGAGAAAGGGCAGAGTTGGGTCCCTGGGGTTCCTGCTGGGCCTCCACCCAAGGCAGGGGTTGACTCACATATGTATTTACTACCTGTTGGTGTTCCCAGGACCCTAACACCCTGTAATAGGCAAACGAATTACCCTGCCCATGGGGTGCAGTCTAGAAGGCTCATTGCATTTGGGTTCAGGAAATATGAGTCCTAGGATTTCTTGGTCCCTTACAAACTGTGTGGCCTTGGGAAAAGCACTTAACTTCTCTGAGCCTGTTTCCTCACCTCTAAAAAGCAGAGATAATAAGGATTACAAGAGATGATGCATATGAAAGTGCTTTGTGAGCAGTAGAGTGTACATAGATGTACACAAATTATGTATGTGTATAAAATATAATAATGTATTTAATAATGAGCACTTAGTATAAGTCAGCATCCACCAAGTGCTTTATATGATTTATCTCTTTTAATCTTCACAATAATCCTAGAAAATAAATACTACTATTACCTTACTCATTTCACAATGAGTAAACTGAGGCTAGAGAGGCGCAGAAACCTGTCCGATGCTGCAGCTCGCCTGACGGGGTAGGGGGTGGAGATGGCATGTAAATCCTCACTCAGGAGCCTGCCTCTCACCATGATGTGCTCCTCCTTCACGTTCATAAAATACATTGTGTAGAAAAGGAGGAAGGAAGACACAGAGAGCCCAGGAGCAGAGCGGAAGTTGCAAGGAAGGACTAGAAGCAGAAGTCCTCCCAGGGAAACGGCTGAGCTTGACTGTGGAGCCCCCAAGGGGGCTTTTCTTCTGTCTCCAGCTTGACTCCGAAGATGCCTCAGTTACTGCGAAACATTAACGGGATCATCGAAGCCTTCGAACGCTACGCCAGGACGGAGGGCGACTGCGCGGTTCTCAGCCGGGGCGAGCTGAAAAGGCTCTTGGAGCATGAGTTTGCTGACGTCATCGTGGTATGAGGCGCACAGCCAGGTGGGGAGGGGGCAGCAGAGGAGAGAGAAGGCCAGTTTGCCTGCAGACACGTTGCCTCAGGGATTGAGAAGGCAGCCGCTAAATCCAGGCCTTGGGCCTCAAAGCAGCTGTGCAGGCAAAGAGAGAGAAGATGAAGAGATGGTCACGGGAGTTGACAGGCCTTGGTCCTTCAAGAAAATACGTTGACTTCAATTAATTCTAATTTGAAAACAAAGTAAAAGGACTCTAAAGGGACAACTCAGGGAGGAACAGAGCCTTTGAATATTCTAGAAACAAAAATAATTGCTACTTTCTGCTGCTTTTTAGATCTGATTCAGTAACATTTCCTATGTCTAATGGAAATTTGATCATCATTAATAAGCATTCATTGGCAGCATAGCCCTATGCCTTGCACAAAGCAGTGGCTCAAAAACATTAGCTGAGTGATCACATCAGAAATGAGGTTTGGAGAGCAGGCTGTTAACAGTGGGGGGAGACTCTGCGAGCCCCTCCCTCACTAACCAGAACCAGGGCCCTGATGTACCTCCCCACCTGTGCTGCCTTTCGTTTGCAGCTAAAGCAACCAGGATGATGAAGGTCTCGGGGACAGGAGTGTGTGGGCACAGAAGGATGCTGCTTACGCGTGCTCAGGGCAACCCATGGCCCCACTGGACCCCCACCCACCCTATCTTGGGAAAACACCTGAGCCTCAGCAAGGATCTCAGAGAATTCCCAGGGGGCCATGTTCCCGCTGTGCTTCTCTTGATGTTGGGCTCACTGGAGAGAATATGGCCTTGCTGCCCAGGGCCAGGGGCAGAGCCTGCCCAAAGAATCATTATGAGCCCATCATTTATTCATTCTCCATTAAATCTTTATCCGATTCTCCTACAGGCCAGAAAGTGTGCCAGACACAGGGGATACAAAACAAAGGGTGCTTCCTAGGCTTGAGGGAGAGAGACAGGACTGAAAAATGAAAACGATTCCGTGTCAGTGCTGCTATAGCAATATGTGTGTAGTGGTGGGGCCAGAGAGGGCCAGCTCCCAGGCTTGGGGGTGGGAAGCCTGGAAGCTGAGTGAACCGGCCTGCCCACGTCCTCCTCACGTGAGGGAAGCTGACTTAGCTTTATCTTCTCCCCAGAAACCCCACGATCCGGCCACTGTGGACGAAGTCCTGCGCCTGCTGGACGAAGATGACACGGGGACTGTGGAATTCAAGGAGTTCCTGGTCTTGGTGTTTAAAGTCGCCCAGGCCTGTTTCAAGACACTGAGTGAGAGTCCTGAGGGGGCGTGTGGATCTCAAGAGTCTGGAAGCCACCCCTCTGGGGCCTCACAAGAGCTGGGGGAAGGACGGAGAAGCAGCACTGAAGTGGGAAGGGTTGGGAAAGGACAGCGTCATGAGGGGAGCAGTGGTGGACAGAGTGAGCAGGCTTCCAGAGGGCAGGGTGGGACTGGGACTCAGACTCAGGGTCAGGACATCAGCTCTACTCAGGTCAGTGACCATGACAAGCAGTCTGAGTCCCAGCGACAGCAGAGAGAGAGCCAGCAGACACAAAGCAGGGGGCATGTAGAGCAGCCCCAGAGAGTAGGGGAAGACAACGGTCCTCAGACAAGAGAGCTGGGGTCAGAGAGACAGTCGCAGACCAGGGAACAGGACAGAGCCCACCAGACAAGTGAGACCATGAGTGGAACCATAACTCAGACCCAGACAGGTGCCACCCAGACCATGGAGCAGGAAAGGAGCCATCAGACAGGAAGCACTGGCACCCAGCCCCAGGAGTCCATGTATGGCCAGACCAGAAGAACTGAGACCCACAGTCAAGACAGGAGCCAGACCAGCCAGGTAGTGACAGGGGGACATATTCAGACACAGGCAGGTGTCACCCAGACTGTGGAGCAGGACAGGAGCTGTCAGACAGGAAGCACAGGCACCCAGCCCCAGGAGTCCATCTGTGGCCAGACCAGAGGAACTGAGACCCACAGTCAAGACAGGAGCCAGACGAGCCAAGTGGTGACAGGACACATTCAGAGACAGGCGGGGTCACACACACAGACTGTGGAGCAGGACAGGAGCCAACAGACAGGAAGCACTGGCACCCAGCCCCGGGAGTCCACGTATGGCCAGACTAGAGGAACGGAGACCCACAGTCAAGACAGGAGCCAGACAAGCCAGGTAGTGACAAGAGGACACATTCAGACACAGGCAGGTGCCACCCAGACTGTGGAGCAGGACAGGAGCCATCAGACAGGAAGCACCAGCACCCAGCCACAGGAGTCCACATATGGCCAGACCAGAGGGGCTGAGATCCACACTCAACATAGGAGCCAGACAAGTCAGGTAGTGACAAGAGGACACATTCAGACGCAGGCAAGGTCACACACCCAGACTGTGGAGCAGGACAGGAGCCATCAGACGGGAAGCACCAGCACCCAGCCACAGGAGTCCACCTGTGGCCAGACCAGAGGAACTGAGACCCACAGTCAAGACAGGAGCCAGACGAGCCAAGTGGTGACAGGACACATTCAGACACAGGCAGGGTCACACACACAGACTGTGGAGCAGGACAGGAGCCATCAGACGGGAAGTACTGGCACCCAGCCCAGGGAGTCCACATATGGCCAGACCAGGGGGACTGAAATCCACACTCAAGACAGGAGCCAGACAAGCCAGGTAGAGACAGGGGGACACACTCAGACACAGGCAGGGTCACACACCCAGACTGTGGAGCAGGACAGAAACCAAACTTCAAGCCATATAGGGTCTAGAGAACAGGGACAGACCCAGACACAGTCAGGCAGTGGTCAAAGAAGGACACAAGTGAGCAACTATGAGGCAGGAGAGACAGTGCTGGGAGGACAGGCCCAGACTGGGGCAAGCACTCACTCAAGCTGCAGTGTGACAGGAGGGCAGAGAGAGAGAGAGCCCACAGTAGTTAACCAGGAGTGGGTTGATGACCAGACAAGGACGATAGTGATCCAAAGGCAGGACCAGGGGAGCGTGCACACAAGCGTGCCTTCAGCACAGGGCCAGGAGGCAGCCCAGCCAGAAGGGAAGCGAGGTATCACAGCCAGGGGGCTGTATTCCTACTTCAAAACCACCAAGCCATGAGTGTCCCGCTCCTGGACCCCAGTGCCAGGAAGGACACAGCTGGAGAGGAGTTGGCTTGTCCTGCCCTGGCCAGTCCAGTTGGCATGTTCCTGGACATCAGCTCTTAATCATGCTGCTTCTCTTTTAGGTCTTTCTCAGTGAGACTCTTTCTGCAAGGTGCTTTTATCCTAAACTCTTCTCTCCTACCTGCTTTGCTGTGCTCCTCTCAGGAGCAGGAAGACATAGAGCAAGTGATCCCTTTCTGCTGAATTCTCCTCAGCCTGTGAGAGTTTTCAGAGCTGCTTTTTTCTCTGCCATCTGTCCATTGCCCCATCTATCCTAATGCATCAATAAAGCCTTCCTAAGCAACTAGGCTCTGTGTCCCATTCAATTGCATCTATTAACATGATGGGCTAAGGGCTACAGGGCGATGATGATGCACTGGACATGGTCCCCTACCCTTGAAGAGCATCCAGTTGAGAATGCATTGAGTGAGATTCCGAGAATTGTAAAAAGTCAAAGAGGAGATATCATACTTTAATACTTGGCAGAGATGGATCAGGAAAGGTTTCAACCAGAAGAAGCGTTTTTGTAATGTCCTTAAAGGACAAGTAGGACTTGGGTAGGTAAAGCTATTCTCAGTCTTTCATGACCTCTAATTCTAGAGTGTTAAGTCTCTGTTCACCTGTAAGGTCACGTAGGAAGGCTGACTTAAGGTTACCAATAAATGGAAGAGGGCCCCCAGAGACTGTGTAGAGGAAGTGGGAAAGGCATGTGCTACCAGGTACTGAGCCAGGAGCCAGAGCTCCTGACCTCCCCTCCCCCACTCCCCATGGTGTCAGCTCTGACCTCTCATGATGTCTCACCCACTAGATATGAACAGGTTATGGGGTGAAACCTTTCAACTCTGGTTTATTCTAAGAATCACATCAGGAATAGTTTTAAAATACAGATTTATAAACCTAACCCTAGAGATGCTGAGTCCAAAGGTTTGGAGTGGAGCCTATGAATAGCGTTTATAAACTTCCTAAGGGGGACTTCTGCTCCTAGCAGTATGGCAGACTAGATACCCTGAAGGGCCTCCCACAACAAAATAACTAGACCCTCCATAAAGCATAGTTTTCATTGCATTCTTGGTTTACAGGAAGCAAGGGAAATCTCCAAGGAGAAAACAAAATGTGGTAGGCTGTTAACAACCCCCCAAAATGCCCAGGCCCTAATCCAAGGACCCCATGAATATGTTACTTATATGGCAAAAGGGACTTTGCACGTGTGATTCAGTTAAGGGTCTTGAGATGGGGAGATAATTCTGGATTATTGGAGTGGGCCCAATGTAATCACAAGGGTCCCTATCAGGGTGAAAGTCAGTAAAAGGAGACATGGTGATGGAACCAGGGGTTGGAGCAATGTGCTACAAGACAAGGAAGGCGGGCAGCCTCTGGAAGCTAGAAAAAGCAAGGAAATGAATTTTCCCCTAAAGCCTCCAGAAGGGGAAAATAAAGCCTCCAGAAGGAGCACAGCCCTTCCAACACCTTGATTTTAGACTTCTGACCTCCAGGGCTGAAAGGGAATAAATGTTTGTTGTTTTAAACCATTAAGTCTGTGGTAATTTGTTACAGCAGCAATGGGAAACTAACACGGAAGACAACAACCCTGAATTGGAGCCAGAATAGTAAAGAGTAAGTGTGTGTGAGGGGTAAGGTCACCCTTCTGAGGACAAATCGATTTATATCCTTCCAAACTGACCTGTAGGTATAAAGGCCAAAGACAAACAGCAAAGGACTTGCAAGACTCGGAAAATTGTTCCCATAACCCCTTCCTGGGGAATCTATTACAGAATGAGCTTCAAAAGAAAAAAACCCATAAACAAACAAAACCCCAGAACAATAGAAAAAGCATTTGTCATACAGTATGACAATGAGCATTTAGATATACTAACTGTAGAACTAATAACAAATAATGGGGATAAAGGTGACAGAATAGCATTTAATACTATATGCTCTGAAAATATAAATATAATACAGCTAATGAAAAATGGAAGGAGAAAGAGAAAGCATATGGAGAGTGGAGGAAGCTTATTATTGTCTCATAGACGTACATACTGATAAGTAAAAACTGAGAGTAAAAGAATATCACTTTAAATCAGATATTGAGGAAGGAAGAAAGAGGTGAGAGTAAAAAAGTTTCCAGAAAATTCCATTACTACTTAGAGTAGGGGATGAATAGACAGTACATTGAAAAAGGGAGGGGATACATATTACATAAAGATGTTACTATAAAGGTAACATTAAAACAAAAATACAAACTTTCCTCAACATCAAAATATATTTCAGGAAAAAAAGGAAATAAAACAGACAACATAGTGAATGATGTTATTTATGTATAAGACATATAGTTGCATGAATATGACATAAAAGAGTGTGACAGACTGAGGTCAAACATATTGTTTGTAATAATAATGTAAAAAAGGCTTACCTCACTTGTAAAAGACCAAGTTTTCATATTAGCTCTATGTAAGTCTATGCTCTTTACAGAGAAATTCAAATCAAAGAGACTCAGAAAATTATTTTTTAAAGGATGAGTGGGTTAATATATATCAGGAAAATACAGATTAAAACAAAATTTTTAAAAAGCAGTGGTTATGTTGATCTCGATCCAAGACAAGGTAGAATTCAATTCAAAAAGCATGAAATAAGACCAAGAAGAACCCTTTAAAATGCCAAAGGCAATAATTTCACAATGAAGATATAACAGTTTTTAATATCTATACATTTAACAATGTAACACAACTCTCATAAAGCAGAAACTACAAGAGATACAAGGACAAATTTAAAAAACGTAATACTTTATCTCAGTTCAAGACAGTAAGTGTAGAAAAGAATTGAGCACAATTAAGATATAAATTACTCTTTATGCATATATATATATATATAACCCACCAACATATTAACCCAACAATAAAAACTACAGCTTCTGCATGTAGAATATTCAATATTAGGTCACAAACAAAACCACAATGCATTATTCAAAAATAGCAATAATACAAAGAGCATTCTTACAAGCAATGTAATGTCAATGAATATGGCTAAATCTCTACTGTTCTTGCAAATTAACAACAGAAACACACACTATTAAACAACTCTCAGAGAAAAGGAGATGAATACGTGACATCAGCAACATGTGGAGTGAGCTGTTCCCTTTGTCTCTCCCCCATTGAACTACAACTAAATGGACATTCATTAACCAATGGAGGAAGCCTACACAGCACAACAGGATGCCTGAGAGACCCACACGGCTATACATTTGAGGGTGGATTGACCACCCCCACAGGAAGTGATGGAGATTGGCGAGCAGCCCTGGCATTGCTGTGCACATGCACAAATGCTTTCCAGATTGGTGTGAGTGCCCATAGTACCACTGCACCCTGAAAGTGGGAACATGCCCCAGGGGGACTGTAGGAAGAGACAGCAGTAGCCCTTAGCCTGTTTGTGATTGCTTTCCTGGTGGTGGGGGAGCCCACCTTGTCCCTGCAGTCCCAAGGAGTGGCCCTGGCTTGGTCCCCTCAAGGAAGCCCTGCCCACCAAGCACAGTGGCCAGCAGGACTACAAGCAGAGGGAGTGGCAGATCTACACACCAGGACAAGCATACTCCCAGCCTGTGCAAGCACCCACAGAACTGCTGCACCCTGAAAGTGGGAATGTGCCTTGGGGAAACCAAAGGAAGAGATGGCAGCATCGCTTAGCCTGCTCGTGATCACTTTCCTGGGAGTGTGGGAGCCCATCATGCCCCTGCGATACCAAGGAGTGGCCCTGGCTTGGACCATGCTAGGAAGCCCCACCCTCCAGGCACAGTCTACAGATGTGCCCAAAAACTCTCCAGGATGGTGCAAGTGCACATAGTACCCCCACAACTTCCAGCAGATGGGGTGCAATCCGAAAGTCTGCTCCTGCTTCCCCTTAGTGATAGCAGGTGGAATCTGCAACCTAATACTACCACAAATCAGCTGGCAAAACGTTAGTTCATCAAACACCATGAGAAACTACAGCAACAATTCAGACCAGAAGGAAAATGACAATTCTCCAGAAACCAACTCTGAAGGCACAGAACTTTACAGTCTAAATGACAGAGAATTCAAAATAGCTGTCACAAAGAAACTCAACGAGTTACAAGAATACTCAGACAGACAGTTCAATGAGCTCAGGAATAAAATTATTGAGAAAAAGTAATACCTCACCAAAGAAGTTGAAACTATTTTAAAAAACCAAGCTGAAATTCTGGATATGAAGAACACAATTAATCAAATAAAAAATAATCTAGAATCCTTAAAAAATAGAGCTGACTTATGGAGGAAAGAATTAGTGAGTTAGAGGATAGAAATGTAGAAATGCTACAGGTGGAGGAAGAGACAGAACTAAGATTTTTTTAAAAAAATGAAGGAATTCTTGAGAATAGCTGACTCAATTAGGAAAAAGTACTATGAGGATTATAGGTATTCCACAGGGAGAAGGGAGGAAGAAAGGAGGAGAGAACTTGTTCAAAAAATAGCTGAGAACTTCCAAAACCTGGGGAAAGTACTGGATTTACAAATACATGAAGCTAATAAAACACCTAATTACATCAATGCTAAAAGACCTTCTCCAAGGCATATAATAGTTAAACTAGCAAAAGTCAATGACAAAGAAAAAATATTAAAGGCAGCAAGGTGGAAGAAAATAACCTACAATGGAACCACTATCAGGCTTTCAGTGGATTTCTCAGCAGACACCTTACAGGCTAGGAGAGAATGGAATGATATATTCAAAATACTGAAAGACAAAAACTTTCAGCCAAGAATATTCTACCCAGCAAAACTTTTCTTCAGATACAATGGAGAAAGAAAAGCTCTCCCAGATAAACAAAAGCCGAGGGAGTTTATCATCACTAGAACTCCCCTACAAGAAATAATTAAAGATGCCCTAACACCAGAAACTCAAAGGCAAAGGTCTACAAAACTTTGAGCAAGGAGATAAATAGACAGACAAAATCAGAAAACTGTAGCTCTCTATTAAAACAGGGAAGCAAATACTCAATTATAACTTAAAAGATAAAGAGAAGGAAAGATAAGCAGTAACAATAGACACTTCAAATTAGTCACAAACTCACAACACAAAACAGAACCTGCTTAGGCTAATGGAGATAAGAGGCTATGAGAAAATGAACTATTTCATCTAGGAGATCTTTTATACAAACTTCACAGCAACCACTAAACAAAAAATCAGAGCAGAGCCACAATTCATAAAAAGAGAGAAAACTTCCTTAGAAAACCACCAAAATGAAGTGACACTCAGAAATACAAAGGGAGAGAAACATTGGAAATATAGAACAACCAGAAAACAAGAAATAAAATGGCAGTGTTAAACCCTCCTATATTAAAAATCACTCTAGGGCCAGCCCTGTGGTTGGGTGGTTAAGTTTGTGTGCTCCACTTCAGTGGTCCAGAGTTTTGCTGGTTTGGATCCTGGGTGCAGACCTAGTGCCACTCATCAAGCCATGCAAAGGTGGTGTCCAACATAGCAGAACCAGATGGACCTACAACTAGAATATACAACTGTGTACTGGGGGCTTTGAGGAGGAGGAGGAGGAGGAGAAGGAGGAGAAGGAGGAGGAGGAGGAGAAGGAGGAGGAGGGGGAGGAGGAGGAGGAGGAGGAGAAGGAGAAGGAGAAGGAGAAGGAGAAGGAGAAGGAGAAGAAGAAGAAGAAGAAGAAGAAGAAGAAGAAGAAGAAGATTGGCAGCAGATGTTAGCTCAGACGTCAATCTTTAAAAACAAAAAACACCCTAAATATAAATAGATTGAATTCTCCAATCAAAAGACACAGAGTAGCCAGATGGATTACAAAACAAGACCCAACAATATGCTGCCTCCAGGAAACACATCTCAGCTCTAAAGAAAATCATAGGATCAGAGTGAAGGGATGGAAGATAATACCCCAAGCTAATGGCAAACAAAAGAAAGCAGGTGTTGCCATACTTATATCAGACAAAGCAGACTTCAAGTTAAAAAAGGCAATGAGAGACAAACAGGGGCAGTATATAATGATAAAAGGGACATTCCACCAAGAGGACACAACACTTATGAATATATATGCACCTAACACAGGAGTACCAAAGTACATAAAGCAACTATTAATAAACCTAAAGGCAGAAAGTAACAGCAACACAATAATAGTAGGGGACCTCAACACCCTACCTCCATCAATGGACAGATCATCTAGACAGAAAGCCAACAAGAAAATAGTGGATTTAAATGAAACATTTGATCAGATGGGCTTAATAGATATATAGAGAGCATTCCATCCAAAAACAGCAGAATACACATTCTTCTCAAGTGCACACAGATCATCCTCAAAGATAGACCACATGTTGGGAAACAGGGCAAGCCTCAATAAATTTAAGAAGATTGAAATAATCTCAAGCACCTTTTCTGACCACAATGCTATGAAACTAGAAATCAACTACAAGAAAAAAACTGGGAAAGTCCGAAATATGTGGAGACTAAACAACATGCTATGAACAACCATTACATCACTGAAGAAATCAAAGGAAAAATTTTTTAGTACCTGGAGACAAATGAAAATGAAAACACAACATACCAATTCTTATGGGATGCAGCAAAAGCTGTTATAAGAGGGAAATTCATAGCAATACAGGCCCACCTCAACAAACCAGAAAAAATCTCAAATAAGCAATCTTAAACTGTACCTAAAAGAACTAGAAAAAGAAGAACAGACAAAGCCCAAAGTCTGCAGAAGGAGGGAAATAATACAAATCAGAGCAGAAATAAATGAATTAGAGACTACAAAAACAGTAGAAAGGATTAATGAAACTAAGGGCTGGTTCTTTGAGAAGATAAACAAAATTTACAAACCTTTAGCTTGACTCACTCAGAAAAAAAGAGAGAAGCCTCAAATAAATAAAATTAGAAATGAAAGAGGAGAAATTACACTGGATACTGCAGAAATACAAAGGATTATAAGAGAATACTATGAAAAATTATATGCCCACAAATTGGATAACCTAGAAGAAATGGATAAATTCATAGACTCATAAACCTTACAAAACTTGAATCAAGAGGAAATAGAGCATCTGAATAGACCAATCACAAGTAAAGAAATTGAAACAGTAATCAAAAACCTCCCAAAAAACAAAAATCCAGGACCAGATGGCTTCTCTGGAGGATTCTACCAAACATTTAAGGAAGATTTAACACCTTTCCTTCTCAAACTATTCCAAAAATTTGAAGAAGACAGAATGTTTCCTAAGTCATTCTATGAGGCCAGCATTACCCTGATACCAAAACCAGACAAGGACAACACAAAGAAGGAAAATTACAGGTCAATATCACTGATGAACACAGACGCAAAAATCTTCAACAAAATACTAGCAAACTGAATACAGCAATACATTAAAAGGACCATAAATCACGATCAAGTGGGATGTATTCCAGGGACAGAGGGATGGTTCAACATCTGCAAGTCAATCAATGCAATACACCACATTAACAAAATGAGGAATAAAAATCACATGATCATCTCAACAGATGCGGAGAAAGCATTTGATAAGATCCGACATCTATTTATTATAAAAATTCTCAATAAAATGGGTATAGAAGGAAAGTACCTCAACATAATAAAGGCCATATTGACAAACCCACAGCCAACATCACACTCAAAGAACAAACCTTGACCCTTTTTTAGGCAACATCTCAACCTTATTTTTTGCCTCTTCCAAATTTCAAGGGTTCAGGAGCAAGCAAATTATTCTAGACCTGAGAAGAAAGAACAAAGCTGGAGTCATCACAATACCTGACGTTAAAATATACCACAAAGCTATAGTAATAAAAACAGCATGGTACTGGTACAAAAACAGACACACAGATCAATGGAACAGAGTTGAAAGCCCAGAAATGAAACAACACATCTAAGGACAGTTAACCTTTGACAAAGGAGCCAAGAACATAAAATGGAGAAAGGAAAGTCTCTTCAACAAATGGTGCTGCGAAAACTGCACAGCCACATGCAAAAGAATGAAAGTAGACCATTATCTTGCACCATACACAAAAATTAATGCAAAATGGATTAACGACTTGAATGTAAGACCTGAAACCATAAAACTGCTAGAAGAAAATATAGGCAGTACACTGTTTGACGTTGGTCTTAGCAGCATCTTTTCAAATACCATATCTACCTGGGCACGGAAAACAAAAGAAAAAATTAACAAATGAGACTACATCAGACTAAAAAACTTCTGCAAGGCAAAGGAAACCATAAACAAAATGAAAAGACAACCCACGAACTGCAGAAAATATTTGCAAATAATATATTCGACAAGGGGTTAATCTCCAAAACATATAAAGAATTCATACAACTCAACAACAACAAAAAACCAAACAACCTGATCAAAAAATGGGCAGAGGATATGAACAGACATTTCTCCAAACAAGATATACAGATGACCAACAGACACAAGAAACAGTGCTCAACATCACTAATCATTAGGGAAATGCAAATCAAAACTACAATGAAATGTCACCTTACACCGGTTAGAATGGCTATAATCACCAAGACAAAAAACAACAATTGTTGGAAAAGATTTAGAGAAAAGGGAACCCTCATGCATTGCTGGTGGGAATGCAAACTGGTGCAGCCACTATGGAAAACAGTATGGAGATTTCCCAAATATTAAAAATAGAAATACCATATGATCCAGCTATCCCACTACTGGGTATTTATCCAGAGAACTTGAAATCCATGATCCAAAGAGATTCACGCACCCCTATGTTCACTGCAGCATTATTCACAATAGCTAAGACATGGAAGCAACTCAAATGCCCTTCTACAGATGAAGGGATAAAGAAGATGTGATGTGTGTATATATATATATATATATATATATATATATATATATATATATATATATACACGATGGAATACTATTCAGCCATAAAAAAGACAAAATCTTCTCATTTGCAACAACATAGATGGTCCTTGAGAGTATGATGTTAAGTGAAATAATCCAGACAGAGAAAGACAAATACTGCATGATTTCACTCATATGTGGAAGATAAACAAATACATGGACAAAGAGAACAGATTAGTGGTTACCAGAGGAGAAGGGGGCTGGAGGTGGGTGAAAGGGGTAAAGGGGCACATATGTACAGTGAAAGACAAAATTAGATTACTGGTGGTAAGCATGATGAAGTCTATTCAGAAATTGATAAATAATAATGTACACTCAAAACTATGTTATAAATCATTTTGATCTCACTAAAACTATTGGGGAAAAAACAAAACAAGAAAAAAGGGGATGAATACAAAATGAAATTGAAGAGCTTTTAGAAAATGATGATAATTAAACTAGACACATAAAGATCTATGAACACAGCTACATGGATGCTCTGAGGAAAATTCATAGCCTTAACGACATGTTAATAAAAATTAAAATTAATGAATTAAGTTTTCAAACTGAAAAGCTAGAAAAATACCAACAAAGAAAATATATATATAAGGAAGAATTTTAAAAGGTATGAGAAGAAATTAATAACAAATAGAAAAAAGTTCAATAAGTAAATAAGTAAATAAATAAATAGCCTATTTCTTTGAATCGACAAAGTAGAAAAGCACTGACCAACCTAATTTATAAAAAGATAAAGAGTTCAGTTGAGAAAGCACAAATACACAAAATAAGAAATAACAATGGGCAAAAGAGACAAAGTTTGAAGAAATACAAATGATCCTTAAATATATAAAAATATGCTAAAGTTTATTCACAATAATAGAAATAAATTAAAACTATATATATTCTGTATATTAAAACTATACTAAGATTCCATTTCTCACCATCAGCTTGGCAAAAACCTAAAATTTGAGAATATACTTCGTTGACGAGGCTGTGGAGAAAAGGTACTCCTACACTTTTGTGGTGGGAATGCAAAATGATACAGCCTCAATGGAGGAGAATTTCGCAAAATTCATCATTATTACATCTACCTATCTTGTTCTTGCTGTTTCCCCAGTGCCTAAAGTAGATCCTGGAAAACAGTAGCATTCAATAATTATTTGATGAAAAAATTGAATGACTCGATCTCTCCTTCCCCATACTTTAGTTCTTACTGTCTCGTCACAGACCTGTGACTATGGAAAGGCAAATACAATCAAGTTGGTATCAAATAAGAAAATGGAGTTTCTTTAGTGTGTGGAAGTTACACACCTCACAGAGAAAAAAGGGCAAGTGAGTGTGTGAGGATCTACCCAAAGGGGCTGGGAGGAAGTGGCCCTTCCATTCCTACCTCCAACCGCAACAGGAGATTCTGGCCGTGAAAGCCTGGAGCCTACTTATTCCTTGGAATAGACACCATCCTCAGGATCCATGTTCCCAGGGAGCTTCCAGGGGGAGGCAGGGGTTACCCTGGAACAATGGGGTAAAATATGAAGGCATAAGTGGTTGTGAAAGAGAAGTCAAAGAACAGTGAAGTCAAGGAGAGGCCAGAGCAGGCAGCCCATCCCCTCTAACCTCTCGTGCCCTGCTGGATGGATCTGGGGGCTACAGTGAGATTCCCCCACTAAGTTTTAGGTATAAATGAATAGAGACTTCTTAAAAATGTTAAACATTGGAATGGATCAAATCAGAGATATATTCACAGTCAACTTTAAAAAGAAAGAATGATTTTCAAGCCAATAGAATCTGACTGCACCTTATTTAATGTATTAACCTTTGATTCCAAAGGGAGGGGAGTTATTCAGGCAAATGTAGAAAAGGGGAGTCACGGAGGCCAATGAGGCTGGACTCACATAAGCACTCTATGTCTAGGCAAGAGGGCCAAGTCTCATCGGCAAGGTCTATGGAGGCAATGGACACCTCTATCAGGGGAAGGGCCCGATGCCATCAACCTCCAAATCAGGAAACTCACTCTCCTCCTCTGATTCTGTGATCACAGCTTCTGACTATGGTACAGCTGACCATGCGGGAGAAAAGTCACTGCCCAGGGGGTAAGAGTGACCAGTCCTTTCAACAGCTATTGTTCTTGTTGTAAATTGACTAACTGAAATCATAAATGTCAATCACAATTTTGCACATTTTTTATTTTGGAGCTGACATACATCTGTACCAATAGAAAGATATCGATTTATCTTTGATTCATACATTTTGTTGGCCCTTGCAAAGCTCATAAGCCCCAGTCACATCGCCTGTAGTGTGTAAAGTGGCTCTATTCTCAGGGATATTTGCAGCTGAAGCCTCACTGCAAAGACCCAGCAAACCTCTTCCACCAGGGGGTCTTTTCTGTTCATAGAGAGCAGTGTACTGCACTGCTGCCCCCTGGTGGTGGTAAAGACTAATGCCTCCAAAGGATCTCTGCAGGAAATCTGCTTTTGCAGGAACGAAAGATGGCATCAGAAACCGGGACAGGCTCAGCAGTGAGGCATTGGGACAGCAGCTCCTGGAGGAAGAGGCCCTGAAGTCTCAGTGGTGACCCACCCCAGGCTGCTCTGTGCCGCAGGGCTGATAGTGGGCGTTCGTATGTGTGCTGTTTGCGGGTGCCCTTCACAGAGACACTCCTGCTGACAAATGGGCTCCCAGCAGCTGGTTTGGGCCAGGGCCGGCTCTGATCCCCCTGTAGAGCTAGACCTCTTGCAGGGGCTTTGGCTCCACTGGGCAGGGATGGCCCTATGGGTGCGTAATTACCTCACCTGGGAAAGGACGTTTCTGGAGCCGTCCCTGTGGAGAGACAGGGAAGTAAACATCCCATGGCTCTCCCTCCTTAAGACAGAAAAAAGCAGTCTGTGCACTTCTCCTGGGGGCCCTGAGACCGAGCCTGTGGCCATCCTTGTCCTGGCCACTCATAGGAACACTGCGGATTCATCTCCCAGGACTGATGTAGGCCACTTGTCTCTGTGAAGAGCGTCCTCAGTGTTCCCCATTTATACACAAGCTACAAGTAATAAATGGAGGTTCCTTCCCCACTTCTCTGGACAGTGGGGAGGGTTTAGGGCGGAAGGGGCACATCCTGTTCTTACACATTTCCGCTTAACGCAGGGAAAATATTAAGAACCCAAAGGAGCCAAATGGCTTTGCCTCCATTGCCTGCCTGAGTGCTGAGCAGCTTGCAGATCCACAAGGCCCAGTTCTTGTGGAGGGGTTGAGGATGAGGGCGTGGGGCCTGTTGCAACAGGCAGCATCACCTTCTACTCATCATGGCTGAAAGGGGGCCCCTGAATCTTCTTCTTTCCACACCAAACAGATCTCCAGAGGAAGAGACTCCCCGTTCCCTGGAGCTCTCGGGGTGGCTGAGGCAGTTTTGAGGCTCCTGGCTCCAGGTGAAATTTGGAGGGGACACCGGTTCTAGTTTATGTGGGGATTCTCTGGGGAAAAGCTGACATTGCAAAGATAGAGTAGAGCCAACTCTAAGAGGAATGCTTCTTGCAGAGGTGTCCCTGGGGCCAATGTAGTATGCAGTCTCCTGTCTAGAAAAGAAAGTCAGTCAGTTACAGTTACCAGCCAGCCAGGTGCCACTCAGGACACAGGGTTTTGCCTGGGCTTTGTATGATCCTGCACTGAGCAGGCAGGAACTCATTCAATGCTTGTTTTAAATGTACTAAGTAAAGAAAAGCAAATCCTTTTTTAAATTAAGAAAATGTAGGGGCCGGCCAGTGGTGCAGCGGTTAAGTTTGCGGCTCCACTTGGGGGGTTCACAGGTTCGGATCCAGGGCGTGGACAAAATTTGGTTTCAAACCATTATATGTTTATCATAAGGAAATCATAACAGACACAAGCAAATAGACAAATAGAAAAAATGCCAACAATATTCTTGTCCAGAAATAACCATTGTTATTTAATTCTTTCCAGACCCTCTTCTAATGCAAGTTACCATATAAATATCTATATGAAAATGTATATCTATAATTATATGTGCAAATTTATATGAAAATTACACCTACAAATTACATATCTATATGTAAAACATATAAATTATACTTGTATGCAAATTATATTTATATGTATATACATATATATGCTATACAAACACGTATGATTGCAGAATAGCTTCCATGGACTATTTTCAGTGATTTAGAGCATACTATGTGTTAAAAAACAAAAATTAACTGACTAAATTTGAAGATCTAATTGGCTTTGTCAAACGATTCGTGAACCGGGAAGCATTTCGTCTAGCAAGATACTCTATGGGGTTGTACAGCATGGAAGGCTCTCACAGTAAGGAGGGCAGGACAAGGAAAGGAAGTCATCGATAGGAAAAAGTGAAAGTTCCTTGGAGGAAAGTAAAAGTTCAAGTGACCTTCTCACTGGCTGAGCTGAGGTGTTTTCCATTGGCAGGCTTGCTGCTGGGCAAGAAGGAAGTCTTCCTTCCTCCTGCTGGAGTAGTAAAGTAGTTGCACTTCCAGTTTGGGAGTGCGAGGTACATCTCTTCCTGTTTCGGTCAGTAACCAATGCTTTTTCCTACTGAGGTCGGTAAATGATGTCTTCCTGTTTGGGTAATTGACTAGGAATGGTAGGGTGTGAGAGCTCCCTCTACAGGCCTTCTGGACTCCAATTTTAGTTGAGGCTTCCTTTATTAATTTTCAAACGTCTTTGGCAGAGTTTGGTGGTAGAGACTGTGTGCTAAGAAGCCAGCTTGCCAGGATTCAAACCTCAGCTGTGCACCTTACAAGATGTGCCCTCGATCAAGGTACCCATATTAGATATTTCACCTGTAAAGTGGAGAAAATAATGTCATGTCCTCATAGTAGTTATGAGGACAGATAAATCCATCCATGTAAAATTATGTGTATGCCTGGTACACGGCATGGTAAGCACTTAGATGTTAAGAACTGAATGAAACACTCTTTAAGGCCAGCCATTTATAAAACAAAGAATATTTGAAGAAGGAGGAGAAGATACAAGTAGTCCTAATCAGCCAAACCTTTATCTAGTATAGAAGATTCTCATGGGCTGGGCTTTCTTTCTATGAGCATACAGCTGCTCTCGACCATGGTTCAATTGTGGGGATTTCCATCTCAAAGGAAACCTAAGGATTAAGACTGAATGTCAGAGTATTATTCTAAATGTCCACGTGTAACACCAGCCATCCCCGCTTCTCTCTCAAGCCGCTATTCTATCAGGACAAAATCAGCTTCTCACTGGTCCATCTCTCTTCCTCTCAAGATTATTAAGCTGTTACCTAAAAAGAGCATAGGGAGTGGATCTCTAACTGGCTTCTCTTTTTCATAAGACTCAGGCAAAGGAATGGCAGGTGTGTGTGGTTGGGGAGGGTGTAGTCAACCATCAGTGCCTCAACTATTGCATCTGATTTAGAGAAGCACGTTTAACAGACTAGAACAATATGGGCCACGCTGACCAGAAAAATCAATTTTTTGTTTTATGATACATTTCATCATGTATCATGACATACTCATCATTTGGGTTCCATTTTTTTCTTCCAAGGGAAATTCAGCATCCAGAGAGGAAAATTCCCATACATCAGCTGAAATCTACCTTATCTTTTAATCCTAATCCCAAATATGAATAATCACAAATAATAAAAATGGGATGTTGTACTCCAGTCTGATTGTGTATTACTGTGAATTCACTGAGCACCAGTTCTGTGCTGGCCATATTATAAAAGGAACCAGATGTAGTCTCTCCATCAACGAGCTAACACAAGTGGATAGATATAATGGAAAGTATATTGAAATAAGCGAGGAATCCTAGCTCATAGTGCCAAAGCCCGTGCCCTCTGCCGTGGGCCCCCTAAACTAACCTTAACCTTGGTATGACTCCAGATGGCTCTGCTACAGCCGTCATCAATCCTGAAAATGGGTGTTTAGGCCTCATTCTCTGGTGCAGAGAGAGGTGTGTTTATAACGAAACTCTACCACCATGACTACAACCTCCCCCTCCCCACACACCCTCTGCCATTTCATCAGGGATCTTTTCCACTGCCTACCACTCACAACAAACACATAGTTGCCCTTAGAAAACAGAGGACTAAACTCCACTACTATTTTCCATGATACACCAGCCAAGAGCTCACTGCCTTAATTACCATCTATTTTGTGATAAGATCAGTAGTCATACCTATTGTTGAAGTGTTTGTCTTATGAATGAGTGCTGTAAAATTTAATTGCACCACCTTACCCACATCAATGAAAATTAAGTCACACCTTAAAATAACATAGGGTATTATTTATCCCCAAATTAAGAAGCAATGCAGTAATCTGAGGTAAACCACAGATTTATAATTTTTCCACCCATGACCTGGTCTTTCTCACTTAACTGGTTCTGGTCTTCGGCCTCCCTCTAGAGTTTTTCCATCAGATTAAGCTGCAGATTTCTCTGCTCTACACCCTTTCATAACCACCTCTCCTAGGTGGATGTGGGACATGCAGGTGGCTCTGCTGTGGCTTGTGGTATTTGCTGAAATCCACCAGATTATCCAGTTCAGTGGCATGCCACAGGGGCTGAACCCACACACCTTCTTACAGAAATATGACCATCCACCAGATGGAGGCACCTTTCATTCTCAAACAGAGTGACAACCCGCACCTAGATCGGGTGTACATAACTGGACCGGTGTACATAAACTTTGTCTATGCCAAGATTTTTCAGCTTTGACTTTGCAGCTTTGCCCATCTTCTCTATCCCTCTTGTGTCTCAGGGCTCTGGTCTTCTCCTGAGAGCACCATGGTCCAGTGGAAAGATGCCAGTGCCAGTCCCTGTCAGAGTGTCAAACAGATCTGGGTTGAATCCTGGCTCTGCCACCTCCCTTCTCTGTGACTGAAACTGAGTCTCCTTCTGAGCTTTGGTTTCCTCACTGAAAGACGAGGATCACCTTATCTCCCTCACAGAATTATTAGGAGATGAATAATATATGTAAAGCGACTTTCATGTAGAGATGCTCAGTAAACATTGCAGCCCTGTGCTCTCCCTTCCCCCATCTGCACCTATCCTACCACCCTCACCAATTTTCCTCTTCCTTTCTCATACAGGAAGCTGCCAGTTTCTGTTCTTTGCCTCTAATAATACTTCCCAAATCCTCTTTTTAACCTGTATACCCACAGCATCAGCTTAATAAGGTTCTTAAGAAGCCAGGACCAGAAATGTGTAGTTAGTGGATCAGTTACCCGGGATGCTAGGTTGCAAAAAGAATGAATTATTTTTTAATAAATGTTGGAGTAAGATGAGCTAAACACTACTGCAAGGGTGGAAAATTGGAGAAAACTTTATGAAAATAAATTTATGAATACACATCAAAAACTTTAAAAATGTTGGGGCCAGCCCAGTGGCGCAGCAGTTAAGTTCTCACGTTCCACTTTGGTGGTTCGTGGTTCACCAGTTCGGATCCCGGGTATGGACCTATGCACCACTCGTCAAGCCATGCTGTAGCAGGCATCCCACATAGAGGAAGATGGACATAGGTGTTAGCTCAGGGCCAGTCTTCCTCAGCAAAAAGAGGAGGATTGGCAGCAGATGTTAGCTCAGGGCCAATCTTCCTCAAAAAAAATAAAAAGCTTTAAAAATGTTCATACCTTTTGCCTCAATTATTTCACCTCAAGGAATTTATTATATTAAGGAAATAATCAGATATCTTCAAATGTTTGTGTATAAGATGTTCATTACAGTATTGTAATAGTGAGAAATTGGAAACATACAAAATATCCAAGAATAGGATACTGAAATAATGGAGTAAATACTAGGTAGTTATTAAAAATCAAGTTTTAAAAGTTTATGACAACATTGTAAAATGCTCACAAATTGAAACAAAACTGAATATATTTTAAATTTTAAAAATATATAAAATATAGAATTACCATATAATCCAGCAATTCCACTTCTGGGCACACATCCCAAAGGAGTGAAAGCGGAGACTCGAACAGACATCTGTAAACTCATGTTCTTTGCAGCACTACTCACAATAGTTGTAAAGTGGAAGCAGCTCGGGGCTCACCCAATGGCCTAGTGGTTAATTTTGCTCACCCCAGTTCAGCAGCCCAGGCTCGCCAACTTAGATCCCAGGCATAGACCTACGCATGGCTTATCAAGCCATGCTGTGGCAGGCGTCCCACATATAAAACAGAGGAAGATGGGCACAGATCTTAGCTCAGGGCCAATCTTCCTCAGCAAAAAGAGGAGGATTGGTGGCAGATGTTAGCTCAGGGCTCATCTTCCTCAAAAACAAAAAAGTGGAAGCAGCTCAAGTGTCCCTCAGTGGATGAAAGGATAAACAAAATGTGGTATATACATACAATAGAATGCTACTCAGCCAAAGAGAGGCAATTCTGACACGTGCTACAACACAGAGGACACTTAAAGACATGCTAAATGACATAAGCCAGTCACAAAAGAACAAATACTGTAAGATGCCACTTAAATGAGGTAGCTAGAGCAGTCAAATTCAGAGACAGAAAGTAGAATGGTGGCTGCCAGGGGCTGAGGGGGCAGAGGAATGAGGAGTCAGACTTTAATGAGTATGGAGTTTCAGTGTGGGAAGATGAAAAGTTTCTGAAGATGGATAGTGGTGACATTTGCAGAACAATATGAACGTACTTAATATCACAAAACTGTACACTTAAAAATGGTTCAAATGGTAAATTTCATGTTGCATATACTTTACCACATTAAAATATATATATATAATGGGGATGGCCTGGTGGTGTAATGGTTAAGCTCCTGCACGCCACTTCGGTGGCCCAGGGTTCGCGGGTTCAGATCCCAGGCATGGACCTACACACTGCTCATCAAGCCATGCTATGGCAGCATCCCACATACAAAATAGAGGAAGATTGGTGCAGATGTTAGCTCAGGGCCAATCTTCCTCACCAAAAAAAAGAATATATATATATATATATATATATATATGTATATAATATGTACATACACATACATCTATACAATACATATACATACAAACAGACACAGTCATATATAAATGAAACACTGAAAGGCTATAAACCAAATGTTGGCAGTGCATTGTGAAGTCTGAATCATGAAATAGTAAGAGATTTTTACTTTCATCATTGTATTTTTCTTCTTTTACAATTTTTCTATTATGAACATGTATTACTTTTATAGTCAGGAAAAAAGAGTGTTTCTTTAAATCGACTCGAATTTCCTTGAGTGGGCTCTTTACTTCGGCCAAAGAGGAGCTGGCCCTACAGGCAGACACACTCACACATGTGTGTTCCACAGCAGGAATTTCTCCTTTCCAGGCCCTGCCCTCCGCCTTTACAAGGTAGTTCCAGGCTCGCAGAGCTCATAAAGAGTCTCTTACCCTCACATGGGCATTGTTGGAGAGCATTTACAAGGGCTCTTGGAATCTTGTAGATTATGGCAGTTTTCATCAGGGCTTCCTCCCAATGGCCCCAGAAGCTGTGTTGGGACCGGTGTCCCTGACTTACAGTCAGGAGAGCCACACCGAAGCTTTGTGTGGCAGCAGCAAAATGCAGTTGGGAAAGTGCCACAGTAGAAGTCAGCCGTTGGAGTTCTGCAATGTGACCATTGGCCAGACCCTAACCCTCTCGGGCCCCTCCTTCTTCACTGATAAGATGAGGAGATCAGGCAAATCATGACCTTCCTTCAAACCTCTCCCTCAAACCAAGCTCACGAGTCATCTGCCCCAGGGAGCCTTCCCTGATGAACTCCTCCAGGCTCTGAGGGTCCCTTTAATGGTCATGGCTTCAAATGCGCCTCTGTAAATTTGTGGTCAAGATTTGCTCGTAAATCCTTTAGCAATTTTCATGTGAATCCCCAGCAGTGCTCAGGAGTTGGTACATCTTCCAGTCTTCCCTGCCCCCTCCATTCTCAGCCAGGAATTATAATCATTTGTAATTAAATGGGCCTCAGGCAACTCAGAATCAAAGAGACTCTGTGTGTACTGAGCACATCACTTGCCCTATTTAGAAGCCACCATTGGTTCCCCTTGGCCCTTAGAATAAATTCCAAACAAGGACTTCATTCTGATGAAGATTCACAAAGCCCTTCCAGGTCCAGTTTCTGTTCCCCTTTGTCAGACTCAGCTCTTGCTGTGCTTTCCTCTTGCTCTGCCCTCCTCATATGCTGCATGCCCTGGCTATAGCAAGCTTCCAGAAATTCCTTTAACACACCGTGCCCGGTTAGGCAGGAGTCTTTGCATATGCTGGCCCTTCTTCCTCCAGCTGGTGACCACGATGCCCTTCAAGACCCAGCTCACATAATAACAGCAAATATTATTGGTCCCTGACAACGTGACTGACGATGCTGTGTCTTATCTGTAATAACTCATTTGTTTTGCACAAAGCTAAGTCCTGACAAGCTTTCTTCTGTTACCTCACTTGCCTATTTCCTGCCAATTTTCTTAACATAGTTCTTCAGGTTTCCAGTTGATTCTGTAAACCACTAGATATCCTCCCTATAAAATGCTATTCTGCCTAAGTAAGCCAGAGTTCATGACTGCTGCTTACAACCAATAATCTTATCTTATAAGACATCTAACTAGCAAGTGTCCATGGAGAGTCACTGAATTCCAGGCACTGTGCTGGCGTAGAGGGGAGGGTGGAATACAAGGCTTCATTCCTGCTCTTGAGGAGCTCACATCTGTATGAAAAAAATAAAGACAAAGAACAATGCAAGGTAACTAAAGGTAAATGTGAGTATATGTTATGAAATGTGAGTACAAGTTATGAAAGTATAACTTAGCTCCAGGAACCCACATGGTAGGTCTGAGAAGGCTTCGCAGAGGTGCTGACATACCAACGGGCAATGCAGCACCAGTGGCCAGAGGGCTCTGAAGCCAGACGACCTGGCTTTACATCCCGCTTCTGCTACACATTGGATATGTCACCTTGGGCAAGCTATTTAATGTCTTTGGCCCTCATCTTCCTCATCTATAAAGTGAGTGACAATGAGACTATCTCCTTAGTGATCACCTCTGCAGCCAGCTCTGTCCCCAGGGTCTGTCTATGGAACGTGCTCCCAGGCCTGGTTCCAGCATGACCTGCCTTCTCACCAACCTTGTCTTGCTGTGAGGAACCATCTCTCTCAAGCCCAAGCCTCAACTCCAGTCACTAATTTATTGATCAGTCTCTTCCCTTAGCTGGATGGGTCATCGTTTTAGTCCTGGGCCTAGAATATGTCTCAGCCTCCCCTTGCTGTTTCCAACTTGACTTGTACTTCAACAGGTTAGGCTCACATTATTTCAGACTTAGCTTTCTTATTCATTGAAGAAGAAAAATCTCTTCTCTCTGAGTCCAAAGTCCACTCCTCTGAACCTATTCTGAATTGTTCTCTCTGAAGCCACCCAAACTCTGGGTATTAGCCTTCGGGATTCCCTCTAAAAACATTCTTCTTAAACTAAGCAGCCTACTATAGTAAAAAACTCCCAGTATTTTAGAGTCTGAGAGATCTGGGTTCAATCCACAGCTCGAGCTCTAGCTGTGGGACTTCAGACAAGTTACTTATCCCTTCAAGCCTTTACTATCTATTTCATAGGGTTATCACAGTGCCCAGGTAAGGAAGATGCGTAACAAAACTGAGTCCCTTCCCTTAATTTGTTCCTATTTTTTTCGGTATTCCCATTTTGAAATCTCTTCTGACGGTCACATCTACAGCCATTCATATTGCTGCCTGTTTTCCCAATTTCTCTCATGTTCAAATTTTTCTTCTAAAAGTCCTATCTCCCAAGACTCACACTTCTGAGCTTCTGGTGCTACCTTCTTGGTGATGATTTGCATAAAAGCCATGTTCATTGTTCATTCCACTTTAGCTCAATAAAAGTATTTGCATTCCTAATTTAAATGTACATCATAATTACTCTATTATGCTGAAAAGGTATGTCAATGGACTTTAACAGGGCATTTGGCAAGATCTCTTATAATACCCAGGAATCCTGGATGGACAATTATATAATTGCCAAAACCAAAGGTGGTGATTAATGAAATAGTATCTTTCTTAGGAAAGCTTAGAGTATCATCCTAGCATTCTATCTACATCCTATTCTAGTTAACATTTTTATTAATTACTTGAATGCTGATTTCTAAAACAGACCTATCAAATTTAAAGATGGCAGAAAGATGGGAAGGACAATAAATACTTTCAAGTCAGAACTGGTTTCCCAAAAAAAGTATATCTTAACAAGCTGTATTGATGGGCTAAATAAAACACGAAGTTTAAAGGGCGAAGATGTGAAGTTCTTTCCTTGAGTCCAAAAACCAGCAGCACAAGTGTAAGATAAGATTGAATTCAATCTTAGCAGTAGTAAAACTGATACTAAATAATACCCCTGGAAACCTGAAGAACTATGTTAAGA